TATTCGGAAGCAAAAATATAAATGGGGCAAAATGGGTCTGTTTGCTGTTTCCCAAATTGACTCTCCCCCCCTCTCCATCATTAAGAAAATAATGGGGCNCTCCTTTTATACCCTACAGTCAAGAGGGGGGGGTCATTCCTACTCTGGTTACTTTTCCGAGTATGTGGCGCCCCCTTCTTTGGCTCGGTGGCGACTCTGGGATTGGGGCCAAGTTTGCCAAACTTCAAACGTCAGAATGTACCAAATGACCGACTAGAAAATTCCCTACGTTATAAGTGTTCGATTTTCGAATGGGCTCAAATTCACCAATGCTCGACTGGGTGATGTTTCGACACTTATAAATATTCTACATAGTTTTTCTCATACTTATTCAAGTAACAGATAGATCGATTGACCGAATTAATANGCATAAAAAAAAACAACAAATGTGGCAAATTGGGCCTGTCAGCTATTTTCCAAATTGACCCCCGCCCCTGCCCCTGATTATGGAAACCGTGGGGCGAAATGGGTTTGTTTATCATTTGCCGAGTTCCCCTCCCCCCCTTCGCCCGANCTTATTCAAGTAACAGATAGATCGATTGACCGAATTAATAGATGATAGAAAATATATTTTGCCAGATTAAAATATTCCAGAATATGTGAGTGTTCAACTATTCATTCACACGAATTCGAATATTCCAGATACGATAGAATTACCGCTGAACGACTGGTCCGATGGTTGAGAAAATTAGGAAATATTTTTGACCGCTAAGAAATTTTTTATATTTTCATTTCATCCAAAAACGTAAGCATCCGAATATCAATACGTGGAAATTTGTGTTCCACCGAAAGGGAGATGACGCGATTGTTCTATACGCCCGAATGTGGATTTGTCCGACAGTATTGTAGGTAACGCTATCGGTAAAGTAGAAATCATATATACTCTATAAAGAATGAGTAATTACATAAATGAATATTAGTTTCTGAACTGTAAAATGGCGGTCTTAAACTATCTCAAATGATTCTCGAATGATAGAAATTGGTTTTATCCGGAAATTAATTATTTCCCTGTGTTCTAATATGATTTCTCGTTTATCCTCAGTGTACCTACAATACTGACGGAAAAATCTACATTTGGGCGTATCGAACATTCACGCCATCGCCCTTTCGGTGGAACACAAATTTCCGCATATGGATATTCGGATGCTTACTTTTTGTGGATGAAATAAAAATATAAAAAATGTCTTAACGGTCAAAGATATTTTCTAATTTTCTCAACCATCGGACCAGTCCTTCATCGGTAATTCTATCGTATATGGAATATTTAAATTCGTGTGAATGAATAGTTGAACATTCACATATTCTGGAATATTTCCACAGGGGAAAATATATTTTCTATCATTCATCGTCTCGGTCAATTGATTTATCTGTTACTCAAATAAGTATGATAAAAACTGTGTAGTATATCAATAATTGCGGACAAATCACCCAATCGAGGATTGATAAATTCTAGCCATTTTAAAAATCGAACATTTAGAGCGTAAGGTGAATGTCCCGGTAGCTAACTCTTTAAGGAAGAGTCGATGAAAGAACGTGCATAAAAATAAATTCGGTTATATTGGTCATGGAGGAATTATTCTAGAGGATTATCCAACTTTATTTGACCGAAAACAATTATTTTTAGCTATAAAAATATTAAACAAACATCAAACTAAACGAATTTATTATGTAAGAACTATGTCCTAGTAGTTGAATCCAAAAAACGTCCATGTCCCAATACCTGAATCCCCATGTCCCAGTAGTTGAATCACAAGTTATTGCCATGGAAATCTACACTTAATAATAAATATCGTTTATTAAATAATAGATTGGTATAAATATTATGACATATGGATCATCATCATGACATTATGCAAATAGAAGAAACATTCAGTAAGTTTTCTCAATAAAATAACACTCTTCAGATTCCGGTCGGTAGGTGTGCAGACTCTAAAATTTCTCTCTAGAGGAAAAATTTAGTTTGAAGAAAAAAAATTTCTGATTATTTTATTCACGTGTACTGAAGGATTTTCGATAGTTTTACTTATGACAATATCTCATACGTATAACAATACGAAACTTAATAGTGAAACAACGAAGTCAGCTACTCGAACATAGGTTAGGTCTGATGGCCCAATACCTGAATAGCTATTTATTGGCATAAAAAATTGTTTTTCTCGACATTTTTACTACTTTTACGAAAGTTTAAGTCAGTCCCTGCTTGATGAGCCACCTCTTAGCAGTTGACACTAGGAATCGGACCGAAGGGAGCAATTCAACCGAGTATCAAATTTAATTGTTGAATCCAAATTTTTTTGGGAATTTTTCCCATCAAAATTTCAGCCAATAGGATTGCCTTATTCGACTGTTTTTTACATAGTCAACACGAAATTCAACTGATAATTTTTTGATAATTCAACTGGTAATTTTTCACGTTGCCTTCATGTCTATGAAAAACAAAAGATTTACCGGTTGATTGAACCCTTCGTTGTAACTGACAGATGGAATTTGTCTCATAGTGCAATCCTCTTGGCTGAAATTTGGATGAAAAAATTCCCACAAGTAATACCACAAGAACTTCAAAATTATCAGGTATTCCCGATAGGTTCGTTTGCATGCAGGGAACCTTAAGGGAAATACCTGATTAATTTTGAAGCTCGAGTGATATTCGAAGGGGAATTTTTCCATCCAAATTTCGGCCAAGAGGATTGCACTATCAGACAAATCCTATCTGTCAGTTCCAACGAAGGGTTCGATCGACCGGTAAATCTTTTGTTTTTCATAGACATGAAGGCAACGTGAAAAATTAACAACTGGCAATTGCCAGTTGAATTATCAAAAAATTATCAGTTGAATCTCGTGTTGACTATATAAAACACAGTCGAATAGGGCAATCCTATTGGCTGAAATTTGGATGGGAAAAATTCGCCTTCGAATACCATTCAAGCTTCAAAATTATCAGGTATTTCCCGATAGGTTCGTTGCAAACAAACGAAGGAGTCAAGTTTTTCAGGTTAAAAATCACGAGTGCGAAGCACTTGCATTACTTATGGGAATACCAACCGTATGGAATTTATTTCGTTAGAATCGTTGAAACTCTACGCTTTTAAAAAAAATTAAATATTATCATTTTTGAGAAGAAATAATTACTTATCGAAAGAGATTAGCAATCGGATACTCGGCGATTCAGCTATTGGGACTGAGTCAGGTACCGGGAGTCAGGTACCATTTACCTTACGGCATTTTGTTAGTCGGTCATTTCGTACATTCTGCCGTTTGAAGTTTGGCAAACTTGGCCGCATAACCCCTTTTCAATAATTTAAGAGTTCACGTATCTTTTTAAGGGGATTTCAACCCGTAACGAGAAAATCTCGTCACAAGAAATATCCGAATATCATAGACGGAAATTCTATGGAATTTTGATACGCAATTCATATAGAAAATTTCTATACGATTTTTTCATACGTGTCATTTTATAGGAATAGGAGCTTGGGGAATTATAGTACATTAGAGTACAAGGGCACAAATTTCGTTTTCGACGAATGTGAAGTTTAAAGGCCGAGCCGAAGGCGAGGTCTGTATTCACATTCGTTGAAAACGAAGTTTATGCCCGAGTGGTCTATACTATTTTATGCCACATCGTGCAGAAGTCGAGTTTGAAGCACGCTGCGCTAAACTCGACTTATTGCACGGCGTGCCATAAATTTCATTCTTGGCTTCATCTCTCTGATTCTTTGTCTACTCTGCATTTGTCGAGTCGATCATGTTTTCAATTTTTTTTTGTTATTATATAATTTTTGTATTTCTCTCTCTCAGGGTAAATCATGTTCTATTCCTTTCAATTTTTTAAGTTGATTGCTATATTAATTATTTGCTTTTCGATATTTCTTTATTGGGAATTAGCAAATATTTTTTTGCAAATTTAGAGACAATATAGACCTGTACAGTTCGGCATTAACTTTCAGTTTTTCGTGCCTTATTGTTGAGAATAAGAGCCCTATAACTCGTTTTCCACCTGAACCTACCCCTCTCTTCACAACTGACTCCCCTGATCAGCGCCAGCAACCTTTCACCTTTCCCTTGGCCCTTTAGTTTCAAGTTTTCTTTAATTTTGAGTTTTGGTTCTTCATTGGGTTTTCCGCATCGAAGTAATTTTCGGTTTTTTGTTCCCGTCGAGACAAAGAGTAGCTGGCGCCCAATCATCGAATTTGCTTCAGTTTCTCATTTCACCGAGGGAAAAGGGCGAGTTAACGTCCATTTTTGTCTCAGCAAAACTTGGCCCCGTTACAGTACACATTACCCATAAAAAAGACACCGTATGTTATATGATTCGTTTCCACTCCATTGGCAGAAACTTTAATTTAATCATCTTTTTCATAATACATAATAATTAACAACAAATATTTACAGTCACTAATAAATTATAGACATTACTCAAGATTTGTCTTGTTGTCATATGTATAAAGTATCACGGAAATAGAATCCATTATTCTCATATAATCTAATTTGCAACTGCAATAATCTATCTTTAAATCTATCTGTCAAATATCGTACAGATAATGCAGATGCTCTACGAAGATCTGACAGTAATTTCAGGAATGATTCCACTTATTGCGAAAGGTTTTTTTTATATCGGAGGATTTTTATGATTATGTACATATATTCACAATCATGGTATTTGTGTAATACTGTGGAGTCTCACTATATTGGCCTCTGACTGTCTCAAAATAATGAAGTACATAATTAGTGAATGAAATGATTGTTTCATCCATCGATAGGCACTCGCTCGAATAATGCTCATTTGAATTATCTCATGACTTTTCATCGTTAGTGCAATTAGAACCGTTGATAACTTCCTCGTGGAACCTTTATTTTTTTCACGCATTTGCCTCAAGTTATTGCATTAAATATTCGTTCAAGCGTTAAATTCCGCATGAGTGTACCTGTAAAATATGACTTTAATAGATCAAAGAAATGTATTTCTTCGTTTTTCGGATAGAGAAAAAAACAATCGCTTAACGCGACCTTTCGAATGTGACGTTGAGTGTCATCAGGCTGGCGAGGGAAACACGTGGAATGTTACTACGGGGCTCTCGTACATATATTATAGAATCTTCGTATCGTTGTCAGCGATGATTATCAGTTTGCAATGCTGCTGTCTCCTGTGTTATGATGCGTGTGGCATTCGACAGAGACTCTTGATCCTTCTGAGATAATTTACGTTGCTTCAGACCAGTTGCGAGGTATGAAAATACGCAGATTACAGCGTAACAGATCTCTCGGGCCTGAACAAATAAAAATCGGAATAACCGGATTTTTATTTCGAAGGAAATTATTGGATCATAATGATTTTTGAGTTATAATTCACTCACCATGGGAGATATATATTTACGTTGAATAATCTGTCGATTTTTCGGATCTGTAATAGTATAAAATGACTCGTAATCATCATTCCCTATCGTTCTCAATTTAGGGTATTCACCGCGTGGGTCAATGAGAATTTTAAAAAAGTAAAGAAAATTATGATTTTTTGAAAATATATTCTTTCATCTATGAAGGATAGGCAAGTATCTTTTATAAATTGGTACAGATCACATTCTAGATTCCACCTTTTTGCATCATCAAATTTTTTAATTAAAATGTGTGAGAAAAATTTGAAAACAAATCATGAATATTAAGCTTCATTCAAATTACATATTGCACAGAATGATTATTTTTTTAAATATTCGTTATTCATAAATAAATAATTGAAATTGTTTAAAATTTAGGATACCTTATTTTTTTAGGCATTAAATCGATTTCTGGTAACATTTTAAATATGAATAAATTTGTTACGACTCCGAACAAATGGTTTTTACGGTGAAAAGTTGAATGTTTATAAATTATAAATTATTTATAGAATATGCTCGTAATTTTCAAAAATTACACTTTTTAAATCATTTCATCAATCTTCTCCCAACAGTAAACTTTCTAATTTTTTTCAGACTTTTTAGATGTTTTCTAACTGTTCAAATATTGAGATTCAAATTCAGATCTGCGAAGTTTAAATCCGGTGAAAATGTTTGGCATACAGCAATTTCTTGAAAATCTTTTTTGTTCAATATCTCCAAAAAAAAGCAACTGAAGTGAATTTTTTTGACGTCAAAATATTCCTTATGATAATATCTATCAAATCGGGTCATAATATTTCTGCTTATTTATTCTCTTTGACCACAACGTAAACACCAGCGACTATCGAACTTACTGTATTCCTCCAACACGAAAACGCCTCCATTCTGGGTAAAGCACTTGCGGATATGATCAAATCTTACAAAGAACTGGAAATCAATCGATGCGGGATTAATTAATTTGGTCGAAAACAGAAGAAAAATATCACATGCGTTTTCATATTCACTCGTTCATTCCTAAACATTCTCTCAATCCATAGACCACTAACTTTGATCAATCCTGCGTACAATAAAGAATCGGTTTCTTCGTAGTGTAGTTGTAATCTTTCATTGTAAATTCAATTACAGGAAAAATATATTCCTCAGTTTCAAACTCAATTCAACTTCAGTATAGTAATTTTTTAAAAAGAAATTCATCAATAAATTATTCAACTAAACTATTCGAAACACAAATCATTGAGAGTGTAATGCGCATTGCTGGTATAGTCCTACTAACTACTCATGCATTGCAAGTCAGTGTAACATGCACATTTCTGTTGATAAAGGCATTCGCTTGATGTGATTTATAGGAAACACAGTAAGAGTATGTAATTTTTAAAAAAAGTGTTTTTCAGCAAAGGGTACAATAAGGCAGTGACAGGCAACTCTGGAGATGGCCTGAACTTATCATAACATGATTAATTGACAGCTTTTGATTCTCAGTGCCATGTGTGCATCGGAATATGTGTGTTTTTCAATGAACGAGCGGTGAAGGATAATCAACTAGTTCATAAACTACCCTAGAGTATGCCAAAAAATGTTCTTCTTTTCTGTCAACATCTTCATATTTCTCTAATACAAAAAATTTTTTCTTCTCTGTTCATTGTTCTACGTGCCACAGTTCTATTGGAATTCGTGAGTTGTGTTAGTGTAATGTAGAAACATCGAAAAAACATATTAAGTGTTACGGTGCCATGGACCAACCCATTGTTTCAATCCATTGCTTTCTATTGGAGCCTCTAGGTAGGCTTGTAGCGCACTCATTTAATATAATATTATTTCTTCGTGAATTTTTCATTCAAAACCGAATGGATTAGCAGCGAAATGATGAAAAAAGAAGACCAAAATAAGCTCTCCGATTATTTCGTAAGTATCTTTCGAAGAAAGAGGATTAGGAGAATTTGTCAAACGACTTTTTTGCAGGAAATTTTTTTGCACTACAAAAAATATCCTTCAGCACTTTTCTCCAGATCTCTCATTTCCAAAAATAACTCTAAAATAGTTGATATCAGATTTTTGGACTGCTCTCATCCAATCACTTTGCCGCATATATGACCTCTTAAGATTTTGCACCTTCTTCAAAGATTAGCAAATACAAAAACATGCTGAAGGGGTCGGATTCTTCGATTTCAAATTTATTTTAGCTAAGAACTCAATGTAAATATAAATCAATTACAAAAAAACTAGCACAACTACAGATGTTTATGATAGACCCTTTTATTTTCTATGGAGATTGTGCAAATTAATGTCTTTGCCAATGTCATGCAGCTACTTTTCTATTTATCAGTAAATTTGGTAATTTGCACTGTCTCCAGTGAAGATTAGAGTGAAAATTAAATTGATAGCCAATGATAATTGATGATTCAACTATTTAATTTGGACTTGAATTGGTTCAATGTATTTCATCTAATTTCAATATTGGAATTATTTGAAAACATTTAATCACAACTAACACCAATTTTAGTGGTATAAACAATCAAGTAGGACAGAGCATTTCTATTTGTAAAATGAATATTATGCGATTTTGAAAAAGGGTATATGTAGTTAGATACTCTTAGCACTGCTAAAAATAAAACTAATATATATATAATATAAAATAATAGATAAGCATTTATGAATAAATCTTTCAAATGATAAAAGTAATAATGATAAAAACGGCCAACACTGAATTATAAAATTAATGGATATACTGAATTGTAACAATGAGTCACTTGATTAGTTTCAATACCTCGAAATCCTGTTTGTCCAGCGAGGGCAATGTCGTGAGACAGGACAAAAACAGAAAGAGCAGAATAAGAAATAAATCGATTTTTTTCCTTCCTCTAAATAAAAATAATTGTCTGATATACACCGCTACTGACAGTTGTTTTTACCTTCAACATTATTGATAATATTACACAAATTATTGTTCAAGGACCATCTCAAAAGTTCCCGAGAAAAATTGAAAAAAGTCTATTTTTGCATTATTTCAAAAGAACAGTATTACGAAAAATATTTTAGCCAATGACTACAGAATAAATGACACATCAATTATGCAAATAGACTTCTTTTAACAAGTTTGAATACCAGACATAAAATATTAGCTGGTTTTTTAAAATCTTTTTTCATTATCAGTCCAAAATAGTTATATAATATTTAATAGGCATTCAACATTCAATATATACGAAAAATATATATGTATGATCTTAATCGGATAATGAGAAAAATTGATAGTATAATGATTAAAAAACAGCAATCGATGGGGACTTTATCTCTGATTTTCCCTTTTGATGAACCAAAAAATTACGGGAATATAGAACCAAAAAGTATAAATATAGAATGCGGATATATAATAGTATTATTTGGATACAGATAAAGTAGAGACTGTTGCTGCACATCGAGCTCCATGCAAAGAGAAACATTTAGAAATGGTTTTAAAAGGTTATAAATCAATCGATTAATTAAAAAAATAGGAGAGAATCAAAGAATATCTTGGATTTTACAATACAATTTCACGAATTTATGTAATTTTCTTTTGTGACTTTAATGTCCAGAAAGGGTCCAGAACTATTTTGTCTCGTTAACTACTTTTGTCAAATAAATTATGAAAACATAGCAGAAATAAGATCAGAGGAAACGAAATTTTACGATCTACTTCGAACGTGGATATCTTTTTTTAAATTCAAGTGGAGGGTACGGAAAGGGGGTAGTCTTGAGTGGTCCTTGCAAGAAAATGGGAACTAAATATAACATAAATAGGAAATGCAAAATAAAATGAATCGATGAAACACACAAGAAATTAACTGAATAAATAATGAAATAATGAGCTTACAGAGAGATAGTTTGAACAACTCCAGGTGATCAATTAATTGCGGATAAATATTTTCTAGATATTATTTTTTTCATCGTTATTTTCTATTGGTCGGCCCATGATATTTTCCAATTTTTCATTTTATTATTTCCAACCATCCATTACCCTCAGCATTTTATCTCATCGCTTACGCATATTAAACTGTGTGCTGTTTGTTTTCTTTTTATTGTCCAAGTGACTAGACTAGTAGAGCCAGAGAATCGAGTTGTAAGAAAAAAAAAGTTTGAAGTAAAAAAAAAAAGGAAAAAATATACAAGGAAAATCAGTAAAGATTAATGAATACAAGTAGTTGGAAAAGTTTCGTACCTTGCTGTTAGCAAAAAGTAGGCCTACACCCTCAATGCAAACTTGAAGAAGACCACCCTCGCCAGTACGCATGTCTTGAACCGGGAATTCATCACCGAGCTCGACACCGAGATTCGCCCGACCTCGGGCTGCAGCTTTTTCTATGGCGTCTTTTATACAATAATAAAGATCTTTGCACTGCAGACACACGAAAAAAACAAGTTAACATGAAGGAACAACTCAGTTTAACAGTTGTTCAATATGGTTTCGCAATTGTTCACACAGTTTTTGGCTAAATAAAACAATGGTATCCGAATAATTGTTCCCCGGAAAATTGTACACTAGGAAAATTCTTCCCCATCATGTTTTTCTTTGCGCCAATTTCTGTTATTTTTATTTTATTCGACTGGAGGATAAGTGCTGATCCACCCGTTGTGTAGCGGGTACAGGGACTAAGAGCGGTGCTTCCCCTGCTAAGAGGAGAAAGCTTACCGTCATTATGATTTTCGCCTTAAAGCTATTGTTGATACCTACAATCGCGATGACATTGATAAATATCTGAGAAACGTTGTCAACATTTTTTACACGGACTTGTTGCTCAAATTGCTCAAATTTGGGATTTCATATTGCTCGATTCGTTGTGATATGTATTTAATGATCTTCGTTTTTTGAAAATATGTTCATGACCTTACAATTTGGTGTTTATTCGTAACTTATAGTTGTTTTTTTTATTTTGGCGCTAGGTTTTGGAGTTTTTTGGGGAATTCATGCTCTTGGGGAACATTTCTGCTAGAACCGAAACAATGAATAATTCATAAGTATGTTGTTTCCAAATTTCGAAAAACGTTAAATTCGAAAATCATTTCAACATTTTGTATTGTTAAATTTTTTCAATGAATGACATGCAAAGGTGAAGAAATCAGTACATAATATTACTTCACAAATTGTAGCTGAAAACCTAGATGACAAATTACAGCTCATTTGCATGCTCCAATTTTTTTGTCGATACAAGTTAAGACAGAGTTTTGGTTAAAAATTTATATTTATGTTTGTCTTTATTGTTTACAACAATAGTTGTTCCGATGCTGGGAAATAATTGACGAGTAGAATGATCAGTTTATTAATTTATTAATTTAGAAATTTGAAGAATCTTCGCAGTTGGTTTCCAAAAAACTAGGAAAGGAGCTAGTCAAATTAATGAGTCGAAGAAATTATCTAAAAAATGTATAGGAGTTTTATAGTTGATTTCAGCATTAAATGAATTCTCGAAGTTACTCTTTATGATAATACACAAGGTTACGTGAACTTTCGGAGATTTTCTCTACATTATCGACCAGTGGACAAGACAGAAAAACTATGGAAATCATTAACTAAAAACATGAATACTGAAAGCAACATTAAAACTGCTCCACATTTCTCAGGTGATTCGATTTAAGAAATGCTCATTAATAATTATTATTTAAAAAATAATAATGATTAACTGACACCTTCCCTTGCTTTTTAAAAATCACTGGGAAGACCCCCAGTGACTGGCTGTGTAACGTGAACGGCAGTTACCATCAGAGTAGAAAATTTAAATGCAATTCTTTTCTGGAGTGAAGTAATTATTTTGAAAGATGCAAATTCACACACCCTGTATAACATCGTCATGAAGCACGTAAAAATTTTATTTTTTGAAAACAATCAGTTCATCTTAGAAAACCATTGGATTGAAATTTGAAGTAGCGGGATATTGTAATGAGATTTTTCATAAGTAAAAAATCGATTAGATGTGTCACAATGGAATATTAATGAAAAAAAAATCAATTGTTTATTGTTTTATTGTCCTCCAGTGGCTTGAAATCGAAAAATAGTTCAGTGTAATTAATTTGTGGAATACGGAGGATTTTTTTTCAACATGTTTCAAAAAATGTGCAGAATAACAATTATTGTTTTTCTTCAAATTCGAAAAACTGCACTATCCATGCAAAACAGCCAGAAAATATATTCTCTAAATATTTATCAAATTTTTGAACAAAACATTTTCGATGAAGAAAATTTTGAGAATACATTTTCTGGGTGTTTTGCATGAACAGTGCAATTTTTCGAATTTGACAAAAGTAATTCGTAATTGTTATTTTCTACTTTTTTTGACAAATTTAGAAAAAAAACATCTTCCTTATCTCAAAAATTGAGTACAGTGCTCTATTTTTTGCATTTTAACTCCCTGAAGGGCAAACAGACAATAAATAATTGGTTACCGGTCAAAATAATAAGAAAAGTAAGATATTATTTTGTTGTGAAGAGTTTAATTGTAATTTGATATCAATTTATTGAATTTGCCGATTTACCGATTTATACGTTCTCATTTATATTAATAGAATTCACTGTATTATTATTCCTATTTTTTTTTTTTTTTATTAAATTAATTCTCATACCATAAGTAAATATTTATTGCTTTCGAAACTGTTGATAATTGTGTTGAATGTGTGTGTTGAATTTGATTATGTTGAATGAGTGTATTGAATTTGTATGTGTTAACATTTACGTATTGCATTTGGAAATGTAATCAAATAATTGATTTTTTTGCTCTAATTATTCGTTTTTATAAACATCTAATCGATTTTCAACTTATGAAAAATTTCACTACACATGTCCCACTTCTTTGAAATCTCACCGAAGTCTCCTTTTAAGGTATATCCCAAGACAATAACACCCAAAAGTTGGTCCCTATGGATTTAGGGAAAGAATTTTAAATTACTTAATTTATTTCATTCTCATAAATTATTGGATTTTTCTATTCTCATATGTTGCTGATGCAGGCAATAATAACTGTTTGAATCAAAAAAGAAATGATTTCATGAAATATCCATTTTTTAGAGTTGAATATCGCAGAAACTATCCGCCTCAAATTCGAACTGGTTTTCCAGACCACAGGCCATCTTGAAGAGTCTGGGTTTTTAGAACATTTTTGAGGCCCAAAACGCGGACCTTGTGGAAACTTGGAAGGACACGATAATTGATATGTTGATATCAAGTATCTGGGAGAAAGACATAGCACAAACTTCAACCTCCACATCCTGCCCCTTGTATCACCGTCTACTGAATATCATACCAAACTCAACTGACTACTTGTATTTTAATATTAACCTTAAACAGTTGGGTTTAATTAGTCAATCCAGAGTTATCAGTCATCAGAACCCCAGGTTCATTTGGGGAGGAAGGCTGTTGAAACTCGGTGCATCATCAAATTGCCCCCTGTATGGGATTGGGGAAAAAGACAGTGTCGAGCACTTTTGGACGGGATTTATCGCTTTGGGGCCTCTGAGAGAGAAATATTTACAGCGATTCCAGCACGCCTCGCAAATTCTAACAATCACTTCTCATCAACGTGCAATAAATTTATTCAACTATGTTTCTAAAGCCATCGTTTTGAACAACTGCTGACTGATAAACTTGAGGTTATATTGGTTTTCCCTTGCTGTTCAAGGTTGAACAAAATGAAACAAGAAATGGACTCGTAATTTCTGAATTCCTATTATTAAAGTCCGTGATTGAGATTGTATCTTTCTTTATTATTTTTATTTATGTCTGCATTTATTGTACCGAGCGACCAGCTGACCCCCATGTATAAGTGCAATAGCACAGATGCAATAAATTATCTATCTATCTATATCACAGAAACTACACGGAGAGAAATGTTCAGTAAAAATTACGGAACTCACATTTCGCTCACCGATTACGGAATCGACTCAGAAAATTTCAGTGACGGTATCGTAATGTTTCACAGGAGATTCAGGTAAAAATTACGGAACGCTCTGGAAAAATTCCGTGACAGTTACGTAAAATTGCCTACAAACACATGTCGCTCCGGAATTACGGAAAGATACGTAATTTTCATTGAAAATTTCTTTCCGTGTGTATCGTAATATATTATTTTCAATCTATGGGATGTAAAATAAAGTCTCAATGGTCTTCAAATCGGTTCCCGACGTTGTTATGCTTTTAGATAGACGTCAAAACTGGCTATGAGCATATTCATTCGAACACGGGTCAGTTCGCCATATATTTAGTTTTGCACTCACTTTTTTAGTGTAATAATTATGAAGCTCCAGCTGATCTACATTCCTCTTTGACAAACATAGTACTTTGTTCTTGGGGCTGCACGTCATGTTGACAAGACGCTCGTACCACCAACGCTCGACAATTACACCGTTTACCGATCTCAAAACGAGTCCGTCGTGCCGTACTTCGAGAAAACGTAGTTCGCCGTCGGCATCCGTACCAGCATGGACGGTAAACGATTGTCTGTGCATTTGTCGAGACGTCAGTGGCTTCAAATCAATGTCATTCCCGTGCTGAAAGAAAACAATAAACTGTCATTATCTCCTCAGGGCTGAGAGAAATATTTGGATAAAAATATGTGAATATTGAATTCTTTTTACCAAGTTATCAATTTGGTCGAGTAATTGATTCAACTCTTGACTATAAATGAGCCCGATGTGACTCTTCCCAAGTAATCTTCGAACTTTTCTCTTGACCTCGAGCTTATTAACATTCAGCATCACTAAAATTGCTGTTAAATTGTGGAGTAGAGTGCATAGTAATCTGTCTTCGTCGTGCTCGAGTCGTCGACGTTCGCTTTCGCTCAAACTTTTGTACCTGAAAATTTAATGTAATTTTTGTACACAAAGAGAGGAACAATATGTTCTCAAACAAGTCTTGTTTGAACCAAAAGAATGACAAGGCGAAAATTAGATGGAAGACAGAAATTGTTCTATTTGCACACACTGTTAGGAAAAAATTAAATTCCATAGACAGTTAACTAGTAATTTTCAGAACAGTGACACTGAATGCGATTTAGAGGAACAAAAACATGAAGTTTTAGGTTTCACTGAAAATTCAGTAAAATTCCAGAATTTTAAGCAGCATAAATATGAGAATTCCCCAATTTATTTAAATTTGCAATCTAAGATGAATATTCATAACAATTTTGTGTTGGTCGATTCAATACATCCTGGTATAGAGCAATTCATCCAAAAATTTATGTTTCTTAAAAGTCACACATCGTCATTTTATCGATTATGTTCGCCTCTGGTGACTTATTCACGTCTTGTTTAGAACAGGTATAGTATTTTATCTTACTAAACCGAAAAAAAACTTCTGGCGAATATAAGTATACGTGAACCAGGAAAGTTTTTTATTTCACGGAACAATTGTTCGTCTCATCATGAGATTTTTTATTCTTAATCATCAAGACTTATTTGAGAACATTTTTTTCCTCTAAAAGCAGGATATATCAATGCTTATTGATAAAGTGATAGGACAACATCCGCTATTCCCCTTTCCACTTTTCTATAGGAATATTCAATCTTATTTCTTGCATACCTCTCCATCATCTCCCCTGGCCCTTGATCCATTCCTATCATATCCCGCTCCTGCGACACAGCATCTAAGAACGCGTCTTCCCAAAATTGCATTTGGTCCCATAAACGAGAACGTTCCTTCCCCAATAAACCTTTTAGAAGAATAAAGGCATTATAACAATGGATTCACTTCCATCCCAAAGGGAGCACGTCTAAATATTTTCCGTCAAAAAAACTTCGTCATAAAAACTCGGTATTTTGAACTTTTGCAATTACAACGTTTGTCATAAAAAAACTCCTTCAAGAACAACTTCTGTACAAATAACTTTGTTAGAAAGCCGAATATTTACGCAACAATGGCGAGGCAATGGCAATGGCAGGCTGTAGTCGAGGAGTTGCCTCGTACCAACAATGGCGTTGAAGCCTGGCATCGCCGATTTAGTAGTCAAGTGAGGATTTCACGTGCATCTATTTGTAAATTTATCAATTGTCTCAAGGATGAGCAAGGAGTATCCGAGGTTTTGCTCGAGCAGTTGGGTGCAGGTCGTGACATCGCGTCTCGTAAACGCAAGCGTTATGTTGCTTATGATGAACGTTTGAGTGCTGTTGTTCGTAATTACGCTAATCGTTCGTACATGAAATATTTGAAAGGAATTGCTCTTAATATCACCCTTTCATTGCATAATTTTTTTTTTGTCTACTACTCATTTATTTTGTTAATAAAGGTTCGTTCAATTTTATTGATAGTCGTTGGTTTTTTTCTTTCATCATTGATTATTTTTCAGGTAGTTTTTTGAGTTGTTTTTTCATGGAATTTGTTTATGAGAGAAGTGGTTTTTGGGTTGGGTTTACTTAACGAAGGTTTTTTTTAACCAAGTTTTTTTGACGTAAAGTTGTTTTGACGGAGTTTTTTTAGCGGAAAATATTTAGACATGGACCCCATCCCAAACACAATGGTGCAGTAGTTTATCGATTTACCTTCAAACAAATAAGTCCTAGCAGCCTCAGGACTCGGAGTAGTCGCTGTAGTCACTAAATTACCCCCATGATACCTAAAACCAGTGCTGAGCGATGATTTACTGGACCATATGCTACCTGAGCGTTTGTCACGGCTATTGCCGTCAACTTCGCTGTCAGATACAGCACTGCGAATTGATGATTGATTGGATGGTCGAAATGCTGGATGATTCAATATACTACATCGCTCTGAGGACTGAGAATCGCTGGAGATTGCTGACGAGCTTTTATTGCCCTGTGAACACAACATTACAAGTTCATCATTAAAATACCATTTTCGATGTAGAGATTAAGTCATCCAAAATAGATTTACAACCGTACTAAAATCTTCCTTTTCTTTAACTGCTTCCAGCCGAAAACGGTTGGCTGGGAGAAATTAACGAAAAGGCTGATCAAGTCATCTCCATAATGGATAATTTTCGAACAAAATATCAAAAGATTTTCTTCACTCAAACTGTTTCATTCAAGTCATTAATTACTTACTTCGGAATCAAACGAAGCCAATTTACTCAGCAACTTTCCCTTCTTCGAAAACATATCGAGAAATAAATCCGTAGTGGATTGATTATTATCAGAGTGTGCTGGTGCTGATGAAGCATGGGAAATTTCGAGACGCACTTGCGAAGGATCTTGGGATGATAATTTTCTTGTTACTTCACCATATTCTGATTGCTTTGATGATGGGTGAGATCTTAAACTATCATGACTACCATATGAACTTGCTTGAAGCATAAGAGGTCCCTCTAATGCCCCATCCGATAGATCTTTACTCCAGTAGTGCGTGTGAGCAATTTCCATCAATTGAAAAACCGACGCCATACCACCCAAACCAAAATTTTCGTAAGTGGAATTCAGACCGTGGGCCACTGCTTGAAGGCACATGAGCATTCCTTTGTAGACGCCCCGAGAAATACACTGGAACATTGAATAATTACATACAGCAATATTTTTCATTCTGAGAAGTCATTCAACTTGATGAACTTTATACCACATCGGATACAGGGATAGCCATATCCATCAGTTATAATTACTGTTAAATTTTTAAGTAGTCAATTAGTTGATATAACTTTTAAATTTCAATTATTGAAGTAATCATCAATTTAAGAATGTATTACACCCTTTTCGCCAAAATTCACGTTTTTTTGAACTTTCCTGGTAAATAGTTGATCGGATTGACGTGAAAAAATATACCGTTTTTGCGTTTTATCATTACTTAATGACTCACGAAATTTCATGATCCTGCAATCATTTTCCTGCGCTTTTTCTAAAACTTTTCAGAAATTCACAATACTTTGGAAAAAATGCAGGAAAATGATTGCACCGCCATGAAACTTTGTGAGTCAGTCAATAATGATAAAACGCAAAAACGATATATTATTTTGCGTCAATCCGATCAATAATTTGACAAAAAATGCTAAAAACGTGAATTCTGGCCGAAAGGGTGTAGTACGTCCTTAAATAGTAAAATTTTTAATTGGTCATTAATCAGTAATTGAATTAGGAAGATTGACGATTATTTGGATAATCGGAAATCCCTTATAAGAAATTTAGTATTATCTGCTTAATAGAAAATTTATAGTTCTATATTTTTAAATATTTAATTCATCATCAATTGGAAATTTAGATTATCCGTTGTTTTATTATTTTTTAATTTCGATTAGTATATTTAAACCTTGATCAATGTAAGTCGGAAATTCTTTTAATATTGAAGAATCGGAAGATTGATGGGCATCCCTCATCGGATCCCTTGAAAACAGGCTTTTCTAACGATTGTTCACATGTTTTTCATAGATCAGGTTTGTAATATTCCTCAGCTAATGACAAAAATTCAAACTAGCTGAACTACACAGTTTAGGAGATAATAAATAATGAAATGGGTGCTTCTAGCACGTGAGGCATAAGCCAGAGGGGAGTTATGGGTCCCCCCGGACTAAATTTTCCCTCTTACGAGAAAACGGTTCTTACGATGTTCTTAAAAACGAATCCGTGGTAGATTGATAAATTCCTAATACAGTGAATTTTTTGTAAAATTTTCTAGTACATAGTTTCTGCGCTATTCAACTCTAAAAAATGGAAATTTCGCGGAATCATTTCTTATTTGATTCAAACAATTATTTAACAAAAGATTTATTATTTGATTGAAATAGTTATTGTTACCTCGATGAACAACATATGAGGATTGAAAAACTCAATAACTGATGAGAATACAATAAATTAAATCACTTAGATTTTTTCCAGAAGTCTTGAAATTTATATTATTTTTATACTAATTTAACCAGTGGATTCAGCATAAAATTCAATCTGGGAACTGAAATTTCATCTGCAAGGTGTCTCAACATTTCATTAAATTGATCGGAATTTACCTGTAAGGCAACGAATTTCATTACTTACCACATCATCGATATGATCATCAGGACTGATCCGGCGATTCAATCCCTTATTCAACTTCGTAACAACGAGATCACGATAACTCTCATCTTCCATGAGCTTCCTTAACCGATTGAGCTTGAAAAATCCCACTCCCTCGCCGTCCAGCACCTGATGAACCACGTCCGTCAAAAATGCCTGATTGTCACTATTCGTATTCGTTCTCTCAGTATTCTGCATCCTCTGCAAATCTTCTCGGCTATCTCTACTCGTTGAATGCTTTATCAAAGAAGTTTTTTCCACACTTCCGGTTTTTCCTCTCCTGAATGGCCCGAAAGTCGGTGATTTATTTTTCCCCTTCTGTCCTTGAGCCAAGAGACCAGAATTTTTATTCCCTCCTTTATTACCGAATAAACCACTGAACATGTCACTGGTTTGTGCTGCAATTCCATTTATATCACTGCTGACGTTACTGAAGAAGTCACGGCCAATGTCACGTTTAACTCGTGTTTCTGGAGCTACTAATTGAGTATTGCTGACGTCTCTTCTCTGTTGCATACTCGGCGAGGGGGGAGTGTGAGGTGGAGATTGTTGAGAGTCTCCCAAGCTCTAGAGAGAGAGAAATGTTTAGAAGACCCTTCCATAAATTTTATTTGAAACATGGAAAAAATTTGGATAACATTTTTTAGGCTTTGCTTAAGATAGAGAAACAAGCAGGGTTTTGAGCCTATGTATCGATAGAAATCATGTGATCACTTACGGGTTCACAGGTTTAGTCTTCTTGCTTCCGAAAGCCTTGTATTTTTCGATGTTCTAATTTTGATTGCAAATGGTGTAAAATGTTATGAAACGTGAAGAAATGATGTTATCAGGATCATGTATCTATGTGACAAGTTGGGTTTTTTTGTGATTAATTTTTAGAAAATTCAACATAAATACGGTGAAATTTGTAGATAAAAATCTGAAATTTTGATTCATTATAGCTATTGTTGAGCTCAACTTTGGCGCACTATTTCAGCTCGTTCGGTCCAGTAGTTCCTGAGATATAACAACTTGCTTCAATTTCGTTTTTCCTCAATATCTCAAAAACTACTGCACCGATTTCAATTTTTCTTTCTTCAAAATACTAGTCTCGATAGCCTCTATCTAAATCAATCAAAATATATAGGGGAGGTAGGGGCAAAGCGGACCCCCGGGGCAAAGCGGACCCCTTCGAAAAAAAAAAGTGTGGGGTAAAGTGGACCCTCACATAAATTATTGAATCGAGTCGCCAGAATTATTCTAATACGTTTTATAAAGTGAAATTTACTACCTTGACTAAAAAAATATGCAATGAGGGCAAGTATAAATTTGTGTGAGCTCCTGCGGATCTAATTGTGAACAAAAAATGTGAGTTTTTGATCGACAGCGATTACATTCTATCCAATCGGTAGAACAACATGACAATGACTCCTGACAAACGGAAAATTAAAATAATTTTTAAAAAACAGAGGGTCCACTTTGCCCCAACATTAATTTTTTTTTAAATTTAATGACAGATCTTAATTGCAATTCTAATGAGATTATGATCTCCACGTGAAGTGCATTGACTCATTAGAATTTAAAAAACTAAACGATTCGCTTAGAGGGTCCGCTTTGCCCCTACCTCCCATATACCCGTTAACACAAAGTTTAGAGATATTGCCGTTTTTCCATTTTTTCAACACAAATCTTGTACCAACGATAACTTGAGAATAATGGAAGTTGCAAGTTGAAATTTGGTATGTTGCTAGCTCTTATAGTACTAAAAATTGGTATTTTCGATGGGCGCAATCCATCGAGCGGTCTTGAGATATGCAACTTTACGTGTAAGTATATTTTGTTTAATATCTCACAAAATACTCAACGAATTTGATTTTTTTCTTTTTTCAAAATACTCGTCTCAACGGTTTTTATCTAGATCAATCAAAATATTGCTACCCATTCACACAAAATTTAGATATTTTGATATTCACACAAAATCGAGATATTGCCGTTTTTTCGGTGTTTCAATTTTTTCATTCTTGTACATACGATAACTTGAGAAAAAGTGAAGATAGCAAGTTGAAATTTGGTATGATTATCGCTCTAAATAACGGTTACATGACTTCTGTCGGATAAGCTCGAACCCCTGCTTGTTTTCCTGTATTTCTACCAATTCCATTAGTAGTAGGCCTCTGAATGGATCCGTAGGAATTTCATTTACATTGAAATTTCTGATGTTGTTCGATAGATATTATCATAAAGATATTTTACAAGTCTACAACGTGATTTTTTTTACAAAGATTTCTATGGCAGTAGATTCAGTTCCCTAAGGTTCGGAAATATTCATCGGAAACTCACTTGAAATCGAATTGATGTTTATGTAAGTCACGGAAATTAATAATTGCTTAGTAATATTATTAATGAATACTCAAAGGAGATATCACCAGAAGACAAGCCTTGAGGGACTAGGGGAGCTGAGTTGGGGGGCAGACTTAACTTTGAGAAGCTAAACGGCGCTGAGCATGGTCACTAAGTGGAGTGGTAATCACAAGAGAACACATAAAAAAGAACGATGGTTGAGACTGCGAAAGAGAAAAAAGCATTGGGAATATAAATGCTATAGAAAATTAAAATGGAAAGAAGAAGCATGCGTAAAAGCCGAAAGTTATACAGTAAGATATCACCGACCTTCATAGAAAATTTTTCCGACTACAAATCTCTTGACATGTTTCCTTCGAAATAATTATGATCAGGAGAGTGCTCTAGTGAACAAATAGTCACATATTTGACTTGACTTTGGTTCACACTTCTTTACTCAATAATTTTTCAATTCTAATATTTCGGAAAAGATCAGATCAAATTCTCTTATCGGAAAGCCCAAGTTTCCGCATCGTAATTCAATAGCCCCTCCGGTTCAATATGCTCCGAGATATTCATGAAACAAGTTTCGATTTGAGATCCCCTTTCAATTATACCCTGGGAACTGTTTCAATAAAAAAGGTCATCGGATATTCCCAGCGGAAACTCCGGGATTTCCTGATTTATCGATTAACCCTCCATAACAACGCGCATGCGCGCAGAGAACAAGTTTTGAACTAGTCTAGTATCTAGACAATTAAAGAAGTGTTTGTTTCCGAATGACTTAGTATTTGACCGATTTGTCAATTTTCGAATTTTTATTGCAAATGGTTCAATGTTATGGAACGTGAAGAAATAATGTTATTAGGGTCACGTCTGTATGTATGTATATATGCTACCATGGGGTTTTGTGATTAATTTTTAGAAAATTTACCATAAATATGATGAAATCTGTGGACAAAAATCTAAAATTTTGGCTCATTGTAGCTATGATTGAGCTCAACTTTTGTCGCTGTTTCAGCCAGATCAGTCCAATAGTTCCTGAGACATAACAACTTGTTTAAATTTCATCTTTCCTCAATATCTCAAAAACTACTGCAGCGATTTCGATTATTCTTTTTTCAAAATACCCGTTGCAATGACCTCTATCTAAATCAATCAAAATATATATCCTTTTTGATACAAAGTTGGGAGATATTGCCGTTTTTCCATTTTTTTCAACACAAATCTTGTATGCACGATTACTTGAGAAAAAATGAAAATAACACGTTAAAGTTTCCAACAATAAAATTTGAAAAAAAGTTTAAAATTGGCATGGTTATAGCTGTTACAATACTGAACGTTTTAGTATTTTGGATAAGCACAGCCGGCGGAGCAGTTTCAGACATATTTAACCTTTTAGCCTGTTATTTAACCCTGTAGCCTGTGATTACGGTTGCATGTCATAAGGATAGAGAATTTCTACGGATCCATTCAGCACCTTATTGTCAATGGAATTGGTAGAAATAAAACAAAAGAGACTAATAGCGCAAGAAGTAACGGTCACGTCCTGCCTTCTCTCAGATAGACTCGAACCCCTGCTTGTTTTCACTTCTAATTACCTTCAGTAAACCCTTTTTAGTAGCAACTTCCTTAGCACTCTTCGTTAAATCTCCAATCGTACTTTTCCCAACATAAGTCAAGTCATCCAGAGTATTCTTACTGACGCCAGCAGCGGTTTTTCCCGCTTCCATTGCACTCTTGGAGGCCTCTTGCACCGACTTCGTAGCCTCATCCATAGCTTTCTTAGTTTGTTGTGTTAAATGCTCGAGAGCGGCAAACGGACTATCCTCACCAACCTCAGTGATCTTCTCCTTTGCATGATGCTTAAATTTGTCCATGTGAGCCAGAAATCCATCCTGACTGCTTTGCCTGGTCGTTTCCCTGACTAGATCCTTAGCTTGATGGGCAATCTGCTCGAAGAGGGAGCCCTGAGACCCCTGTCTGAGCACTCCATTCCCGCTTCCAGCCCCTGGACTTCCTCCACTGTTCTGTCTTTGGGGGAGTGGTGGGTGTGGAGGAAACTCTGGTGGCATGCCTGGTAGGCTTTTACGAGGGGAAGTATTTTCACTACTGACCTGACGAGTTAATAGAGGTCCCACTGGACTACTAAAACTCGAGGTCCTACTCGTAACGTTTCCGGTGCTCGATTGCCTCTCCAGACTGGGAATCATCGGCACTGGCTGCTGTTGGGGTGAAATGTAAATAGAATGTGAGAATTTATGGGGGGTTTCGAGTAGGGAAGAAGAAAGCTTCGTGTGTGATTTTAATTACATTTAGTGTTTGATAGAGATTTAAAAGATATTAGGAAAAGCCATGAGCAGATGCGATAGATAACGAGGTTTTTTATGTGTGATTTCGTTGCTGACGGGGGTAATTCAAGTGGGGATCGAATAAAGTGGTTTAAGTGAATCCTGAACGTTTCGTTAATTATGCAAATATCTCCAAAACGGGGTCTCGGAGGGAAACGTTGGTTTAGTTAGTTTAGTTTCTTTTTGTTGTTGAAAAGGTAACAGGAAGGAAAATATCCTGGTATTTTCACTCTGGATTCATAATTAATAAGAGGAAGAATGTAAATCGCGTGAGCCACTTGACTGTTTAAATGTTACCCCTGAAATTTCAAGCAAAAAATCTTGAAGTTTTTAACAACGACTAACTCACATGAAATTCCCATGGATGTTGTTACTGAGAAATCAGTTAATATCTGGAATATTCAATGAAATTGCAGTTTTGCGACGCATATGATAATGATATCGAAAGATGTGAAAATTAAGGCAATTATTATTCAGTGGTCGGAGTTTTTTTCCCCGTCAATTTTTCCTCGGCGAAGTTTTCCCTTGGAAATGTTTTCCCCTCACTAATTTTTCCCGTGCAGCATTTTCTTCAGATTTTTTTCCCATTGAAAAAATCTCGGAAATTTTCGCCCCGTCAATTTTTTGTCGGCATCAATTCTTCCGTTTGGAATTAATTTTCCTTATTAATTTTTTCCATGTGGAATTTCGCTTGGAATTTTTTTCAGAAAATGCTAATTGAATTTCTTTTTTTCTCTGAGAAGGGAAAAGATGGAAAAGTTAATGACAAAAATCGTCTTTTTTTATTCGCGATTGTTTAATCAATTTAATGCGTTGTTATTCTTGACCTTCGATCACCCGCGCTCGGCCGCCAGCCAGCCTTCATCCGTCGCACGGTTAGCGCAGAGCCGCTGGGTTAAACCGAGCGCGTTGTGGCCATGTTGGTGCTTACCGCTACGCGCGCATTTCAAGTGTGGCAGTGAATATTGCAACACTGTCACTCGAGCGGTCGACGAAGACTCACTCGGACCGGATGACGCAGAGCCGTTTTTCTGTCCGTTCGACGTTTCTTTTTTTTAGCTAAACAAATTTCCTGAGAAGAAAACGGACAACGCCAACGGTTAATGAAAGGATTAAACTAGAAATTCTATTTTTTTCAGAAATTTTAAGTGTCGAGAAACACGCTAAAGTATAAAAAAACGAAAACTCTTTGAGCGAGTGATCGAGGGTTAATCAGATCGGTTGAGTTGTGACACTCAATAAAAAAGAATTGATGCTGCGTTCAAATACGTATCTGATTTAATATTTTCCAGGAAAATTTCACGTGGGTTGTTTTCTTAGGGATATGGAAACTTTTTTTGATAAAAATTTTTCAGGGGAAAAATTACCCAGGCATTCTTTTCCAGGGGGATTTTTCACAGGGAAACAAACCCAGAAACCCAGCTGTTATTGAAATATCAATGAATAGTGAATTCAACGGACGATTTGACCTCAAATTGCTTTAAATTTCACAACATTCAAAATTTATAGTGGCTATTACTTGAATTTAAAAAAAAATCTAACAATGTACTAGACTAATTTATGGAATTACGTCGCTAATGAATGATTCTAGGAGACACGTTCTTAAGATAAAAGCATAATTGATGAAGTTATCACGTGTCCCTACAGTAAAATCGTTGGACCTACTCAGTGAGTGATAAAAATACTGATTATTGTCGAAGCATTTCGATGCTTGAAACTATCAAGGTGCGATGATCCCTACTCTATCCTATCAGAATGACCCAAATGTCGTCCAAGTCGTTCGTCATGTTGATAACTTTTTTTTGCTGTAAGTATACTTAACGGACTTCATTGGAATTTTCATGGAAACTTTTTTTTCCACTCTTTTACGTGCTCTCCATGTGATCAGGGATCCTTGAGAGCTATGAGTGCAAGAAAATTCATTGAAATGTTAATGAAAAGTTTCCAACCAAAATCTAATGAAATCAATTGAGCAGTGTCTGAATAATTGAAATACATTCGAATGCCAATTGATCAATGAGATGATTCCTTGAGAATCGATGATTCTAATGAGACTTTACACAAAGAAATTTAGTAAATAACATAGACGTCCAAACACTGCTTGTATTATCTTACGTGCTTCGGGAGTTGAAATTGTTCTTGGCTCTTTGGTATCAATTCTAACTCAGAATCCCGATTAAAACTTGGACTACTCAAATCACTGTGACTCGAGGATGTACTCGGTGGACTGTCTGCACGTGCCTGTACGTCATCCTCAATTCCTGGGTACTGGAGTGTATCCGGTGGATTGTATACGTTTTTAGGATCCACTGACAGGGACATCACTTGTGGCTGTGCTGTTTGTGATTGATAGTTGTAACCTGTCAATAAAAAAATTAAGTCAATAATTAGTTCATTACCTTATTGACAGAATGGAGGATGTTAGGGAGCAATGTCAAGCCTAGAACCGAGGAAAATTCTCACAGAAAACGTCTTTTCATAGTGTTTTCTCACATCATTATAGTGATTAATAATTAAAGTGATGATTCGTAGACAGCTTTAACATGAGAGCTGCGTCAATCTCTCGGAAACGAATGACATAAGGGAAAATCATCAATCTATTGTGTTAAAAGTGTTCTTGCCAAAAAAAAAGAAAAGGATTTCGAAATACTTTCTCAGATCTCTTCTGTGACGTTCACGTGTTCTACTGGAGTTTTATTAGAATCTGATTGAAATTCTATGGAAAATTCATTTCGGTTTTAAATTTTTCATTTCTAATATTACGTCATTATCATAGCCACCTGATAGCGCTAATTCAATTTTTTCATTTACCTTATGGACTGCCGAGTATTACCAATAATTAGTATATTAGTCCCCATTTCTAATGATATTTTTCCAAACGTAGTAAATTAGAATATTATTCCGTTTCAAACAGAAAATAAGATTCAAGTGTCAAGACCACATTTTTTCCTGAGCAAATCATAAAACTAGCTTTTCCATATTTGAAATGAAACCGAAAACCAGACACATACACGCGCATCATAAACTATCAAAAAACATGAAATAGAACTATTTAACTAAATCAGTAAGATGAGTACTAGCATCCTGAAATTGTAAACCGAACGCGGCGAAATAAAAAAATCCAAAAGTCATAAGTGTCAAATGATGTTTTCCAAATTCAAAAGTTCCGTGAGAACAGAATTTTTCTTAAGAGTCAAAATGCAGGTGCACCCTTAATTGCTCTTAATCCAATTTCGAATTTCGAGGTTCCCCGATTGGCCTAGAACCAATCGGCTCGTCTCTCTCCTCTCCACCATCCCTAATCAACCAATCCTATCCTCAGAAACTAGAGCGTGTATGCACACACGTGAACAGTAGCCCATAGATATTTAAATCTCATCTTAGTAAAATCACTTCTATATCAATCGCCAAAGAGAAAAGAATAAAAGCACTTTTCTTGACATGGTTTTTTTCAACTTATCCGAGTATTTCTTTGAAATGACTTTATTTGTTCTTAATTTTGACGTGTTTCTTGGGAATTGAAATGTCGGTAAAGCAATTAAACTTCATAATGGCAAGGGGGTGAGGCGGGGGGGAAGTGATATTTCAATTAAAAATAAATAAAGTCATTTCAAAGAAACACACTCAGATTAATAAAAAAAACATCAAGAAAAGCGCTACAACTTCTACATCCATCGCTAACGCAAAAGGAACAAATTTTCTTAAAATATTGAAGTGAAACTTCAAGTTTAAGTAAAGTCTCAGTGAATACTCTAATGTCCAAAACCTAATTCAAAGTGTTCAGGACGTAATCACAAGTGTCAATTGAAAGAATTAAAGTTTAAACCTTAACCAAGGTCCACTGACAAGGGTCACTTAAAACTCTAAAAACTAATAGTCAACAGTGTAATAAAACCAAGTGTTATTGTTATTAAATGAATCTGATTAAACGAAATATACAAAATCGTGTCTTGATTGATCAACTGCGCGCAGTAGTTGATTAGTGGAACCTACCTAAGGAAATAGCTTCCCTCAACACCTGGAGTTACCGACCAAAGGGTCAATTTAACTAATTCTCAACTAACTCAGTGAACAATCGATTATAAACCATTTGGGACGTAACACTAACAACTAATAACCTTTCGTACGTACTTGGTGATAAATCTGAAGAAACCATCTCAGAGACAAAATCACTAAGCGACGAATAACTCGAACTGGTACTCTCTGCGTCCTCCGAGTCCGATCCGCTCTCGTCAGTCGGTTGATTCTCCATCTCCTCAATGCTCTTCAGCGCACTCACCAGCGAACTGCAAGTATCCCAGACCGAGAAATGAATGGGCTCCAATGAAGCTGCATACCACTTAGGCTTATCCCCAATCTGCGCCGGATCAAAAACCCCAGTCTGTACCCTCAGGAACGCAACATTATTTGGCGTCAGTGACCACTCAGCTAAAAACTCCACAGCCTGCGTCCTTGCAAACTTATCCAAAAACTCACTCGTCCTAGGTCTCGACCTGAGGAACGAGTTAATTTGGAAAGCAACGACAGGCCTTGGGTACAGCCTCAAGGTCCTGGTGTGTTCAGTAAAATTAGCTAGTAGATTCTGTGAATTGAAGAAGCGAACCATGGCAACTCTGGTCGCTACATCCACAGAATCGACGTCATTGCCGTAGATAAAAGGATTGAAGGGAGGTTGAGGTACTTTTTGGATGGGAGGATTGAAGTTTCTACTTGGTGAAGAGGCACCAGAGGCTCCAGGTGAACTGATCGGACTGTGGCCCACTCCAACGTCTACACTGGCTCGATGTTTCGTGGAGGAGATAACACTGAGAGTTGAGTGGTGAGATGAACTGCTCTCTCGGCGTGATGGAGATGGAAGGCCAGGCTGGGGGGAGATTGAAGATCTTTGTGATCCTGGAACGCTTGGAACGATATTAGAACCGGCCTGGTCCATCAGTTGCATTGCCTGTCTCAAATGATTCTTCAGGATTGATCCTTCAGGCTCAGGAAGTGCTGGGAGGTGGTCACAGGGGCCTGTTGGTGCTGTTATCTTGTTGCTATCCAGATCCACCAGCCAGATGTCATCGGGCAGCTCGAAGTTCTTCTTGTACAGGAGGAACGACGCTGGGATCCCTATTACGAAGGGTGTTGGGGCCAATAAGAGCTGTTCTGCGCAGTTCATACATGTTGGGAGTAATGGGATGGCTGGGAACATATACTCCAGGGGGTAGATCATGGTCACGAACGCCATCACTGACATTGAGAGTGCGTTGTAGTCACGTGATTGCATTACTATCTGGAATTATGGAATCGATACGTTATTACCGTTGCAGGGGGTTTAATTGGATAGAGGGAGCGGTGTGGGTTTGGTTGATGAGACATTGAATATCGGGAAGGGTTTGTTAATTATGGGAGTGTCTGGGGATTAGTGTTTTTGTAAAAAAAAAGTAATATGACAGCGTTTTTTAAGCGGAACAATTGTAACAATATAATACAAGATGAGAACAACTGAACAAATAATAAACGAGGCCACTTTGGAATTGAGGTGACGTGTGAAAACTTGAATCATTATTCTACTTCATTACAGAGTTACTAAATGGGACCAGTAATGAGCGATAGGGCGAAGAATCATCAGGTGGCTTTCTTCATAGCTCGAAAAATATTCTACGGAAAAGGATCCTCTGATCATTGCCTCCAGACCATGCATCCATGAAATAATTGAATAATTGGCAATTAACATGGGTTATGTAAGATATTAATTAATTAGGGGTCGATTCAGATAATGAGGAATTCTAGGAGAGATGGTTTTATATCATATTCTCTTGAAATCACTCACTACCAAAAGAGTTCTGTAGTTCCATGTCGCAAAGAATTTAACTAGATAAAGAATCGAATTTGAGCTTCATTATGTGAGTCTCCCGAGGATATGAGCGTTTTTTATATGAGAGCTTTTCTATAAATAAGAAATTGTAACAAAAAAAGGGATAATGACAAAACCAATAACCATCGGGGTTATTTTGGAATTGAGGCGACATGTTGGGACTTGAACCATTGTTCTATTTCATTCCAGAGTTACTAAATGGGATCAGTAATGAGCGGTAGAGCGAGGAATCATCAGATCTTCCTTCATAGTCCGAAAAATATTCTACGGAAAGGATCCTCTGATGATTTCCTTAAGACCATGCATCCATGAAATAATTGACTAATTGGAAACTAACATGTGTTATGTAAGATCTTAACTGATTAGGGGTTGATTCAGATAGTGAGGAATTGTAGAAGAAATGGTCTTATAGCATATTCTCTTGAGATCACTCACTACCAAAACTGTTCTGTATTCCCATGTCGTGCAAAATTTAACTAGATGAAGGATCGATTGTAAGCTTCATCATAGTGGGTTTGGTTGATGAAGAATTGAACATCGTGGTTCGTTAATTATCTGAGTCGTTTTTGAGAATAATTACATAACAGCTTTTTCGTAATTGGAAAATTGTATCAACAAAAGTAATAACAACAAAATCAATAATTATTGAGGTCATTTTTAAATTGAGGAACAGTGTGCGGACTTGGATGATTGTTCTACTTCATCACATAACTATGAAATAAGATCAGTAATGAGCGAGAGAGCGAGAAATCATCGAGAGCCTTTCTCCACAGCGAAAAAATCGTTCTTCAAAAACGATCTAACGTTTTCCTTTATAACCAGGCATTGAAGAAATAAATGAATAATTGAAAATTAAATGAAGTTACACAAGATCTTGACCTATTAAATAAAGGGCTCGATTCAGTTCATAAGTAATTTCAGGAGAGAAAGAGCGTTCTCTGGAGATCACTCAGTCCCTTGCCGTAAGGAATTTAATTAAATGAACGATCGATTGTGATCTTAATTGATGATGGATTAAAATAATTAATGGTCTGGTTAATTACCTTGTGCTCGAGGAGTATCAGTGTCAGGACTTTGAGACAAATGTCCACGCCAAGGAGCTCTAGGGGTAAGTGGAGGGGGAAGTCAACGAGGGAAAAGCGAACGTGATCTGGAAGAGCGAAGCAAAGGGGGGGCTGAATCTGGGGCGAGACTATCTCCATTTCGAGGCGGGTTTTTTCGGGGACTGGAACGGGGGCGCTCAGTAGACGAAGGATCCAGGTTTCTATCTCACGGACGTCATGGAGGACGAGGGAGGAGGCGCCCTCGAAGCATTGATTTGCGAGGACACTCCATACTGTGTCCCTGTAGACAAAGGAAAGCAAATTTTGAGATAGAATATTGTTACTAGTTTGAAAACTTCCACTCGTGCTTGTTTAATACATTATACACGGTGTCCGCAAACTCGTCGTACATATCCTGGGGTAGCTTGTGGGAGTTATTTGGAGACAAAAAGTCTAGTACAATTTTTGTCCCCGGCACTTTTCTTAAGAAGTTATTCGTCAGTTTCAAAAAAATTCATCGCAAATCACCCTTTTACTTCCGAATGGAAGCCGTGTGTTTGACCGATTTTTACACCGATCGGCAATCTTACTTGTTTAAAATTAATATCTCTTCAATTTAATGCACAATTATCTCAAAACTATTGTTCTTCTATTATCATGCCCGGGTGTCTCGCAATAAATTTCACCGCGGCGTAACAGCTCTTTGATTTCTGCACGTAATGTGATCTTAAAAGTTAGAGTCACATTTATATCTCCTCTCTCATTAAATATCAAGGGATGAAATTGATTCGAAGCGATTAAACATTTAATACCATCATCTCTTCGTCTTAAATGGAAGAGGGGATGTGATTTCTCTATCGGGGCATAGCGTTTGGGTGGCTGTCTTTTTTTTATATAGTTCATACTCCAAACAACCCCCCCCCCCCCCCAAATACTTCTACGATACGTACGATAAGTTTTGGGATACCCTGTATATTCACTAATAGATACTTCCATGGGAAATTCATTTTCATAGGGAAAGGGGAACTAGAGCAAATGCTGATCAATACCCGCAGTGAAGAACTTTTTTCATAATGAATTGGCCACAAATTTGAGAGATATGACATCAAGTCGAAATTCATTTTCTGACTCTCGATCAAATTTTCAGTGACTTTTTCGGTGTTTCATCAAACCATCATCGAAAAGTGAAACCATCATACAGTGAAGCAAAACTATCACAAAAGTCAAACAGTTAGAGAGAACAAAACTCCCATAAAGTTTGACCCTTGAGTTCATTTTGCTCATTTCCCCTGATTTTTCTAATCGTTCGACCCTTACATCGCGTTGCTCCTCTCCCCATTACTTGAACCTCATATGACCTTATATAATTATTATCATATGTGATCATACATATTATTATCATATGACCTTATATTAACCTTGCGCCTCAGCATCTCATTTACTTCGATCATGGATGAATTACGTCTCGGTCTTGATGCGAGTAACGCGACTAACGCTGTTAGTTAAAAGCTTCGTAAAAGGTTTTGAAATTTTCTGTGGATCAGAGGTTTGATCTTCTCAAACTTATCCGTTTGTGACCTCAGAACTGGACTTTGATTTCTCACTCAATAACTATCAATGACGGGGAAACGAGTAATGAGTAATATTAGAAATATAGAAAAAGTCGCAGGAGAGATAGTACAGTCAGATTTTTGCTGAAAGAATGGTTCCTCTGTCAGCTCAACCTTCTGCTTCGGGGAAACTTTTTTGGTTTGCAGTCAGATTATTATTTATCATGATATTTGAATCCTGGCATTCTACTCGAAAGAATATGTATTCATATGCCACTCAGATTTTCAAGTGGAAAGAATAAATTTTTCGCTGCAGAATATTTTCTCGTGGGGAATAATAATCTTGAAACAAGAAAATTTTGTACAGGTGAACATTTATCTTTTCGGCAGAGCTAATTTTTTCTCTCAGTGTATGGGTGAACCAATCACGCGCTCTATCCCCATACCTAGCGGTAGACTCTCGGCTCTCGCACAGTAACGTAACAGTACCAGTATTAGGGCGCCCCTGTTCTCCGCATAGAGAGAACTAGTTTATTCTGTTCGAGGCCTTGTTGAGCCGACACTGACCTCGCGACTCCCACTATGCTGTGCAGGCTACGCCTCACCGAGAGGTCACAGAGTGGGGGAAACGCCCATTCACCTCAGAGGGTTAAAGTGTTTGTTTCCCTCATGACGAGCATCAACTTCAGAGGTCGTACATAAAGTTCACCTTACGCAAACGAAATTTGCCAAATTTTTGAACAAATTTCCTGCTGAAAGTTATCGATATTTTTACAAATCAAAGCACATTAATCTGCAGGAAGCGATGATGAAGATCAATGTGCTGTGAGTTAAAAAAATATTAATAACTTTGAGCAGACAATTTCGAGGAAATGGTGCCCTTCTGTTACCCCTGAGGTCCCCCCTCTACCGAAATGATTTCACACAGTGAATTCTGGCAAGTGAATTTGGTCTTTCACGTCTGATGAGTACGCCAGTAGAATAACCACGCTATAGAAAGACAACCGGTCGTAGGGAAAGCCAAGCTAGAATGCACTAGTTCTTGAAAAGTATCAATCGATTACTGTCGGACTGACGAGTCCGTTCCCTTCGTTTTCAGAGGTGGGAGATATGGATGTGTATGGAGATTAGCCAAAGTGGGGGTAGCTACGAAGGGAACAGACTCGTCACTTTGCCTACAGTAAAATTATCATTAATAATAGCTTCATAGGCATGAAAATGACTGCGTCGAGTTGAATTTAAATTGAACCATTCCAAATTCCCAAGACCTATTATTATCATTGATATCTTCCCATAATTTTTATCAAACAGTTCCTTGAATTCCGCCACAAACCGCTGTTCTTGTCTATTTTTATATTTAAGGATTGAAGAAAATTATTAAATGTCTACAAATAGCCGTTTCACCTCCCTTTTCATTTTACAGTGGACTCTGGTTAGAGGCATATTGGTTAGTGTCGAACTTCCCCTCAATTTTTTTGTCTCGCCGCTCGAGCGCTTCCCTCACTCTGTCCCCACGCAACCCGGAGAGTAAACACCAATATTTTCTTCAAATTGCTATTGTCTTCCGATTCCAGTAAAGACTAAAAATAAAATATTCTGCATTTGAATTGTCGATCAAAAAATTTAGTCCACTTCTGGCTGTCATGGGGGGAGGATCTCGTTTTGTTGGCATAAAATTAATTCGAAATTGGATTAAATCAAATAATGAAGGGAGGTAAAAAAAACGACTGTAACATTTTTGATTCACATGGTTCGTTAACTCCAGAAGAAATATCTGTTCTATGGAATGTTAGGTGGAAAGCTTCTGTGATCAAATATAGTCAATGAAATTAAAAATATTGATAATAAAAAAATCGTCTGAATCTATATGAATATTGCTATTATAGTTGAAACTGTGAACTAAAGTTTATCATTAAAATAAAGTGTTGAATTGAGAGAGAAAAGAAATAGTATTTTTCATTTTATCGTTCCCAGTTCTCGGAAGTCGGGCTCGGCGTGTAGTGAGCGCGTAGTGGAGGCAGGGAAATAGAGTCGAATTCTCCGAATTCGCTTCCCCTATCCCGCAAAACAGTCGACTCTAACCAGAGTCCACTGTATTGATTTCACCCAACATTTCAAGATGTCCATTTTCCCCTGCCCGCGCATTAATTCACGGGTACGTTTCCCCTTTAAATCCCCAGATGAGTGAATGATTGCATTACTCGTCACTGAGAATAGCTATTGTTGTTAAGAAATTAGCAATATACTTTTGAATGGTGAAACTTCGATTCTGTGATATCATTCCTCGTGATAATCGAAATTTGTCTCGATAGAGGAATATCCAGTTAATATCACTGACCCAATTTCTGCGACCCTCAACAGCTTCAAATGATTTTTAGAAAATTTCAATCGGAAATTTCCCGAAATAGCAGTGTGGTAGTTGTGTCTCCACTATACCTCTACCTAAAATATTCACACACACACGCACCGAGCGTACAAAATTTCCGAAGATTATGTCCTGGAATTTATTCAAATTCTAAAAATCCCTCCATCTCTCTCGCACAGAAAATTAAAAGCTAATCCTCTACTTTCCCAATCATAAACATTTCACCCTCACCATAAACCTAAGACTCGTTTGCGGTTATTACCATAATCCCTGGTCTGTCCTAATTCCTCATCGTCATCTATTTTTCCAACCAATCATATCCTTACGCCCCAACTGCACTTTCGCTAAATATCGAACCCTATTGCAACATTCAATCATCATTCAATCACTCTTATTCATTAACTTAATTTCGCATTACACAGAGAATCAATCCTCTTGTAATTCACAATCTACATCAACTTTTAGGGGCGGGGAGGGGAAAATGGGGTAGACTCGGCTGGGCATACAAGGGTCTCAGGCCGCACGGAGAGAAATATTCAATAAAAATTACGTATCTTTTCTGTAATTCCGGAGCGCAATATCGTTGTAGGACAAAAGCAAATAAATTTTACAGAACTGTCACGGAATTTGTCCAGCCCGTTCCGTAATTTTTACCTGAATCTCCTGTGAAACATTACGATAACGTCACTTAAATTTTCTGAGTCGATTCCATAATCGGTGAGCGAACTGTGAGTTCCGTAATTTTTACTGAACATTTCTCTCCTCGTGGGTGGGTCTCAGCGTTCACCAGGGTTACAAGGGTCAAGAGGATCAAAATCCCTTATTTGATTATAAGTTTATTTGATGTTACAAGAAGGGGTAAAGGAGGGGGACCTTTGGGACCCTGCGGACCCTTGAGGCCTTTAACGTCAAAAGGGCTACAAGGATCTCAGGGTACACCAGGGTTACAAGGGTCAAGAGAATCAAAATCCGTTATTTAATTATAAGTCTATTTGATGTTACAAGAAGGAGTAACAGAGGGGACCTTTGTAACCCTGCGGATCGTTGAAGCTTTCACGGATTGGAAACCGTAGAGGCTAATTATGAGTGATTTTTGGTCGAAATTACTTATATTTTAGTTAAAATATGGCTCCAGCATGAGTTGAAGTCATGTCCATTCAAAAAAATTGAAGGACAAAATGGGTCAGTCTTTGTCATGAAAAAAAATTCTGTCAACAGTGATTCCATGACCAAGGGAGATCGCCGGGGTAGTCAGAAGGGTCAAATGTTCTTACGGGTCGAACTATCTGAGGGATCGTACGAGATGGATGAGTAAAATGCTCAGAACGGTTCACGGTTATAGGACAAAGAAAGAAAAGCTTTAAATTTTAGGGATCTATTGACGGTAATTAGTGAATTTTGTCTCTAGATTCAGTGATCGAGTCCTTAGCCTCAATGGTAAGGACAAGTAATGGTATTACTTGTGCGAGTTCCTTTACTACTCGTAATTTTTTCATGTTCGAAAAATATTAATTTTCTGTACTGTTTCTCACGATTTCTCGTCTGGGAATTGGTATTGCACAGTTCCCAAACTCAAAAACTTGAAAATCCCTACAAAAAAATCTTATCCCGGGCTGCTGCGATATAGTATTTTTCCGGCCTGTTGCGATGGGGTCTTTTACTCGTGTGGCGTTGGCCTCCGAGCCGTAGGCGAGGAGTGGCCAACCACACGAGTAAAAAAAACCCATCGCAACAGCCCAGGAACAATATTTTTCTGGAGTGATTTTCAAGTTTTCGAGTTTGGGAAGTATGTAATACCAATTTCCAGGCGAGAAATCGTGAGAAGCAGTACAGAAAAGGTTTTTTTACTCGTGTGGCGTTGGCGTCCACGCCGAAGGCGAGGAAAAATAATAAACCCCATCGCAGCAGCCCGAAAAAATGCTATTATTGAAACTATTTTAAGAGAAAATGCAACTTGTGAAAATTCAAAAACATCCTGAAGTAACGGTGAAGTGATCCCTCTTTAAAAAAATGTATCACGGAAAAAAAAATATCCTCGAACCGGGTATGAACCAGGAATATCTGTATTTCGGAATGCGAAATATTGAATTCTCCTTTCCAGAATAATATTTCGCATTTAATTTCCTTAAAATTATGAATTATATTAAAAAATAAAATTAATTGACTTGAATTTACTTAGATTCGGTCGGCGCGTCGTCAGTATATGCCGTCTCTTGTAGAAGCAACGTATTTTAATGAGAGGGAGTCCCCGAAATATCATTCTGTAATTGAGAATATTATTCCAGATTTCGGAATATTATTCCGAATTCCGGAATATAATATTCTTGGTTCCGGAATATTATAACCCTGATTTGAAAATATTTTTTCCCGTGATTTATTAGATCCTTACGAAAGACGCGGCTATTATCTTTTTGAATATAATAAATCTGTTGCCCATTCTTTGGCCGCAATTCACGCAAAAACAATTGAATGAATTTCAACGGTATTTTTACTATTACATAGTTTAGGGTCCAGAATCGGTTTTAGTCTATAAGTTATTACGCAATAATGCATAGTTTGGTATCCACCGGAGAAACTTCTAGAAATGTGTAGAGCTTTCTGGTAAATTCTAGAATATTCTCGAGTTTTCGAGAATTTTTTTGAGATGTCCACAAAGTTTGAAGATATTCTCGGTTTTTATAGCAAGTTCAAAAAAATCCCTTGGATTAACAGGAAATTCCAGGAAATTCTCGGGTTTTCTTGACAATTCAAAGAAATTCTCCGGTTTTCGAAAAAATTCGAGAAAATTTGAAGTTTTACAGAAAATGGGTGAAAATTCTTTCACCGAGAATTCGAAAAAAAAACTGGAATTTTCAAGTTTTCTCGAAAATTCGAAGAAATATTCGGGGTTTCTAGAAAATTCGAAGGAATTCGCATTTTTTTGAGCACTATGTCTTTACTTATATCATGAAATTTATGGCTCGAAAATTACCAAGCGCGCAATATCTCACACTAAGAAAAAAATCTTACGCCAAGAAATTTTATATTTGTCCAAAAGATGAGGGCAATTGGTTCATATCAAGAAAACGAGTTCTCAAATCAATTCAAGTGGTTTTTGCATTAAAATATTTTACAATAGAGGCTAAAACCTAACAAATGAATCAATTCAATTTTATTTGGCATAAGAAATTGCTGTTTTGTCATCAGGAAATCGTTCTCGTCTTTAGGACAAGTACAAAATTTCTTGGCGAAAGTTTTTTTTAGTGCTAGATATTTAGCTCTCGAAAATTTTGAAGCCGCGAGTGTCTTTATATAAGTAAAGACGTACTTCTCCGAAAACTTTCTTTTTCTCAGGGTATTCTGTACGGGCGAAGGCGGGCCACACAGCTAGTTCAGAAAAAACTCATGAAATTCGATGGATTCCTTATTGGAAAAAACAGTGAACACCCACAAAATCAGTAACATGTCTCATTTAAAAATAGCAGATTCAGAATTTCAGGCCACATTTAGTTATTCTAACATAAAAAATTGGAAACTTCAATCCGAACGATCACAATATTTCCATTTGAAAGCAAAAATGGCCATCATGACTGGAAGCAACAAGAAGATTCAAAATAAGAAAATTGAAATTTTGTATTCACCTATTAGTTTGTTTCGATGCTCCAACCTTTTGTGGCGACATATTGTCATTGCACGCATCAATAATCTTCTTCAATACGAAAAGGCATTCTCGAAATCGTGAAAAAAATGGATGGTGCGAGATGATGCAGAGAGAAGTAAGCGAGTGATTTCTAATCCTCTGCCTCCTGCGTGATGCTCTGGGTGAGGGTGAGTGGCTGCCACCACTCTCACTGTCTCCACTTGGAGCAGTGATGCCCAGACGCGGTGCCCGGATTGCCATAGGCGTATCTGAATCCCTCCTGCTGGGGTATTCTCTGTCAGAATCGCTGGGCCCAATTGCACTGCTTCTGTGGTCGCTGGAATCATAAAATCGATAAAATGCTCGGGGCTAAAAAAATGAGAGTGGAGGGCACACGAAATTAATTAGAAAACAAGGTCACCTCGAGAACGCTGAATCCGAGCTTTTCTCCATGCTCTTCCGCCAACTTTCTTTTCGCAATTTCGGATCATTTTTATCTTTTCGAATCCTCATTCCTGTTGTGGTTGAACTTGTTATTCGTTCCACTGGACGATAAAAATTTACACATGTCCCGTAACGAGTTTTTCCTAGTTTTGACAGAACAAAAATTTTATTGTTAAGATGGACCGCCTTTTTTCTTTCAATTATGCAATGATTTCATTGGTAAGGGAATTTAGGAAATATTATAAAAGGAAATTCGTGGCGCCAAAGTTCGGCAACTTTCAAAACCGATTTTTTGCACTGTTTGAAACATTCTATCCTGAAATTACACAGAAACAGTACTGTCCCGGTCTTTTTACTTGTTACTTGTGTGGTTGGCCAGTCCTCGGGTTCGGCTCGGATGCCAACACCACACGAGTAAAAAACCCCAACGCAACAGCCCGGGACAAGATTTTTTTGTAGTAATTTTCGAGTTTTCGAGTTTGGAAAGTATGCAATACCAATTTCCAGACGTGAAATCGTGAGAAGCAGTACAGAAAATAAATATACTTGAACTGAGTATAAAATATACTTGAATCACTGTTTAAAAAAATTAATTTTCATGGACAGTCAACTACTAATTTTCAGGGCAGTGACACTGAATGTGATTTAGGAGAAAAAAAAATCATAAAATTTCAGGTTTCACTGAAAATTCAGTAAAATTCCAGAATTTTTAGCGGCATAAAGACGAGAATTCCTTAATTTATTGAAATTTCCAAACTAATATGAATATTCAGTGTCAAATTACATTGAATTTTCAGTGAAATCTGAAATTTCATTATTTTTTCCCCCTCAATCGCATTCAGTGTCACTACCTTGAAAATTTAAGAATATATTTACCAGAATTTTCTGGTTTTCTATTTATTTTCAAGGAAAAAAGGAACAGAAATGTACAGTTCTGAATTTTCAATGACAAAATTTCCTGAAATTTCAGTGGAACATGAACACGATCAAAATTTCCGGAATTTGGCACGGAAAATTCAGACGAAATTGTTTAACAGTGAACCTTTAATAAACAATCCAGTGTAACGCTTTTTGAAGCCAATCTATTCGGCGTATTGCGTCATTCGATTTTTCATAAATGATGATAGTATACATTACAGATATTACGATAATACTTTATTATATTATATTTTATACTATACTATATTATAATACATTATGCATGTTATTATTATCAGTTTATTATTTCATTTTTTTTATTACGCACATTGTATTTTATAATACATATAGTGCTCTATTATATATTGTATATTATACATAGTATATATAATATAGCATAGTATTATCATAATATCTTTAATGAGAGAATAACAGCGGCTAAGAAGAACCTGGCCCATCTCTCCAGACAGCTTCTCGATCTCCACCTTCTTCTGGCTCAGACGTTGGAGTCTCAGCTGTGGGAGACTCTCGATCGTCTTACACACGAACAAGCAGTCCGAACAGCTGAGATGAGAACGGAGAGTCAGAAGGGTAAGTTCAAGAAACTGATCCCCCAGGAGAAAGTCCCAACCCTCACTCACACTGTGAAGAATCTGAGTAAATTTGAACTCAGTGAAGCACAAGTGTCTGTGTTGGCGAAAGGACACAACTTCGCTGTTGCCCCTAAAAAGATCCCCACCGAGGAAATCATCAGTCGTACCGAGACAGCGATTTACCATCTTCCTCAGGAGATCAGCAATGAGATCCGGAGGCAGTTGTCTAACATCCTTCNCTACAATTGAGCGAAAAACTGTTGATCTGCTGAAGAAGGCTGGTTTCTCGGCTGACTTGACGAAATTGCTCACCCCTAAAGAATCCTTTCCTCCTAGACTCTATGGACTCCCCAAAGTCCATAAAGAGTCTGTTCCTCTCCGTCCCATTGTCAGCAACATTGGAGCACATTTTTTCAAACATTTCCCTCTTATAAATAAATAATAAAACTTGTTTGCCAAACGGTAGATTATTTTTTATGGGGTGTCAACAAAATTCTTGATTTTTTTCACATCTAATGAAAAAAAAATTCAGATTTTAATCTTTGATTATAATGGAAATGTTGATTTTCACATAAGACACTGGGTTAAATCCTGATTTTTAAACATTTCTTCTTTGAAAAACCAAAATGAAAATTAAATTGAGAACAAAATTAGAATTCCGAATTTAATCGAGTTTTCTGCAATTTTTTTGCAGTTTTCAATCATCTTTGAATTTACTGTAAGGGTAGAGCTACTTTAAGCATCGAACCCTTACGGTTATGCAACTATGTACAGAGAGAAAAATAAATATATAAGAAGATGAATATTATACATTCTACAAACACATACATTCCTGAAACTTTTCCTTCGGAAACTTTGATATTAACTTCAGAAATCTAATATAAAATTCTTCACTACAATTGACATATGTACATTAACCCTCGTGGCGTAGGACATACGCGCGCGGACTAATCTAGTCAAGTAAATTATTCTTGATTCAAGTATAAAATATACTTGAATCAAGTATATTTTATACTCAATTCAGGTATTTTTTTCGTGTACCCATTCGCAGAATAGAAAAATATATTTAATAATTGTAACTTCAGAAGAAAATATTGAAGGGAATTCCTCATCAAGAATGAATCTACGCATAACTCCCTTTCATAAAAAAAAGCTAGCGCATTAGTTAGAAAATTCTATCGGACATCCATAGAAAATTCTGTTATAGTTTCGTCGATTCTTTTTGGAAAATTCCGCAGCTTTCTCTGCGCTTCTTTCTGCTTTTTTCTTTTCCAAATGTTCTATACTGAATTTCCACAAAATGTTCCACTATAATAAGTAGTGTAGAAAAATAAAATCCGCTTGAGGTTTTCTATAAAAATTTTTCCATTGAACATTTCTATTGTAAGACGGACAGAAAAGCTCGGTACAAATCTAATAGGGTTTGGGAAAGAAATACAATAGAAAGAAAGAAGAAGAAGAAAAGGAAAAGGTTCAATACAAATTCAATAATGTACTCGCGAATTTTTTTGTACATGTCAGCTATAAAAAATTTTTTTTTTAATTTTTCACTGAAATCACTCATTCCTCTCTCATTTGTTATCAAGTAATATAATATGATGTCTATACATATTTTTTTATGTACTGTAATCTTTTGTTTACAGTAATTGGAAAAATTGATTTTCTTACTGCCATGAAAAAATCCATATATACCATAGTACTCATGTATACATCATATAATATATATATATACTATATATAGTATATAATACATACTATACATATGTTTTATACTGTACTTTTTTTAACAATAGAAAAATGTAATGATGTAAGTTCTGTACTGTAAAAAAATATATCTAGGGACAGTGTATATGTATATAGTACATAATACATCCCTAAAAATAAAAAACGCAAAAAGCAAAAGAGAAACGAAGAAGAAGATGAAGAGGATTATGACGATTCCGAATAAATTATTCAACAATTAAATTCTCATTGTGAAAAACTTTGTTGAAACCATTCATTTTTCCTGCATTATTATTGAGATGAAAATTAATGAAAGTGAGAAACGGTAAAATTTTAGTATTCTGGTACTCATGGAAAAATATCCGCGCGCCCTGCTCTAATGTAATGAAATAAAAACCACTCATGTCTCAGGTCTCTACCTGGTCCTTATCAGTGAGTGTGAAGGCGAATGATTTTTCTATAGAATCGGTACAAATCTAATGCATTTTTTAATAAAAGACAAATAGAATTTCCTTGCGAAAATGGACTGGCTTTTTGTATGGAATTTTTTCGTTTGTGTCAGCTTCGAGAACAATTCTTAAAAATTCGTCATAACTCGTCAGACAAACAAATTTCACGCTTCACTTGAACTTTTACCATATCTTTACTTCCTTTTCCCTGTGATTGCCATGGAAGCACGTCGAAAAAACTTCGTGAACAAAACTTTGTCATAAAAACCTGGTTAAATCAACCTCTGGGAAAGTGAACTTTTTGGTTAATTCAACTTTTGTTAAATTGAACTTTTAAAAAATATAAATAAAATCTATGTTTTAAAAATATAAGTAAAACCTGTGTTTGTATATGGGATTCTAGAGTTTTGCATCTGTTTTATTTTGATTCCTCGTGGAAAGAATAATCGATATTTCTCAGTTATTTCATTGAAATGGCATTTTCTGCAGAGGAGAAACTACTCTGCAATATTTGAGAGGGATTGCTTCAAATCTTGCGCTTTAAATGAATGAATAGTTGTGTTATTTATTTCGTCATGCTTATGAATTTGTGTAAAATCACTTGCTATTGAGACTCAATGCTGTTTACTCTGGAAACGATGGTTGAAAATTTAATATTGTGCTTCGTATATTATTTTCTGTTATTATCCTTCGTAGGTATTTATTGAAGCGTTATTAATGTCCTATTCTTGTGTTTTTGCAGTATTTTCCTGGATTTTTAAGTTTTTCGGAGTTCAAATTATTCAAGATTTTTTTCTTCAAGTTTTTTAAATTATCAGGTTGTTTTGACGAAGTTTTTTAAACATGGGCCCGGATGGAAAGATGTAACAAAATAAAAAGCGATAATTTCTTATTTCTGTACCTGAATCCTTATCAGTGAGGGTGAAAGTGAATGACGTAGCTTCCCTCAGTGCAGTGCGTTTAGGGCCGACACTGGTGCATCCTTCTGGTTGACAGAAGTACACCATATCGAGGGGTAATGGAAAATCCTTGTGATCCTCCAATGGATAACGGCGCAGTAGTTCCGGCACCTGGGTGGACACGATCGATTTATACCAGCATTGATTTCATTGGCAACAATGACATAAAAGACGGAGTAAAAAAATACTCTAATGTACCTGAACAGGCTGCCTCGAACCTGAACATGACCTTGCCCCAACAATGGCCATGTAATCCACGAGTCGCGGACACAGAGATTTCTTCTGTTCGTCCATTTTTATTATTCGACTTATCGATTTTTAATATCAGTCACCGAATTGTTATTCTCTGTGACATTGGATCGATAATAACGATTGGAGAAACTTTATTGTTCACTTGCATCGTAAATTATCTGCAATAAATGACCAATTTTCTTTAATTCTCACAGCAAATATCTTTGAAAGGAAGAGGTTGAGGGAGATTCATCGGAAGACCTCTGATTTTTTTCAGAAAATCCCTTATTCAGACGATCTTTTCAGAGTTATAAGAAACATTATCTCGGTAATTGACCAGTTTATGAGAAAGAGTAAAAGGACGTTTTTATTCTTCGACTTATCGATTTTTAATATCAATCACCGAATTCTTATTCTGTAGGCCATTCAAACAATAATAACGGTTGGAAAAATTTTACTGTTCAGTTGCACCATAAATTATCTGCAATAAATGATCCATTTTTTTTTACTTTTCTCAGAATATCTTTGGAAGGAAGAGGGTTAGGAAGATGCACCGGAAGACCTCTGATTTTTCCGGTAAATCCCTTATTCTGACAATCTTTTCATAGTTATTAAAAACCCTTCGAGTGTACAAACCTCCTCGATGTAATTGTGACATTATCTCAGTAACTAGCCAATTTATGAGAAAAAGTAAAAAGACGTTTTTATTCTTCGACTTATCGATTTTTAATATCAATCACCGATTTGTTATTCTCTGTGACATTGAATCGATAATAATGATTGGAGAACCTTTACTGTTCAGTTGCATCATAAATTATCTGCAATAAATTATCAATTTTCTTGAATTCTCTTAGCAAATATCTTTGGAAGAAAGAGGTTTAGGGAGATGCATCGGAAGACTTCTGATTTTTCCGAAAAATCTTTTATTCTGCACTGTTGAAAGTTTTCGTCTGAATTTTTCGTGCCAAATTCCGAACATTTTTATTCTGTTCAAGTTCCACTGAAATTTCAGGAAAACTTGTCATTCAAAAATAAAATATTCCATTGATTTTCTGGTAAAATTAACTGGAAATTAATAAAATGCTTGATTTTTCAGTTCAATTATTATCTGTGAAAATTCTGAAAAATCAGGAAAATTCAGGGAAGAATTTGCGATTCATGTAATTTTGATTCTGAATATTCATGTTCCACTAAAAATTCAATCCAGTTGTGAAATTTCCGTCTTACTTCCACTGAAAACTCGTGCATTTCCGTGAATTCTACTTAAAACTTGAAATTTCATAACCATTTTTTCCCTAAATCCGATTCAATGTCACTCTCATGAGATTTACTATATCTTCCATGAAATTTCAAAAAATTTCCAACAGTGTGACGATCGTTTCATAGTTACAACAAACCATTCCAATCTACGAGCCTCCTCGATGTAATTGCGGCATTATCTCGGTAATTAGCCAGTTTATGAGAAAAAATAAAAGGACCTTTTCTATAGCCCATAAAATTCCCTACGAAGGGTATCTGCATGATATTCGTCACAAACTCTTCCTCCATTTTTACTCCCCAAAATTAATTACTCCTTCAATAATAATAAAAATTCAATTGGAGAATGGACATTGTGCCTCATAACTTCTTACAACTTCCACACTTTCTTCACCCATTGATCACACCCATACTAAAGCCCAATATCGACAAGTAGATTAATTACCACTAGCCATATCGCCAACTGTTCGTGTAATTAATTCCTCATAAGATGTCAATCATCGAGGGAAATCGATAGCAAAAAAAGTCAATCAAATGATAACAAAAATTGTATAAAAAATCATAGGCACCGAAGACCTTCGGAGGATGACGTGAATGACGAAACCCTTCCGTTCCTTTTAAAAACCATCGACATCATGAAAGAGAATACATACCTTATGTTCTAAAAGAACTGAACTACGTCCACTGCCGTTACAATCACCAAAAATACCCCGTGAAATCATGGAATACTTTTGGAATTCTTCAGATTCTTACGAGAAAAAAAAATCAATAAATTTTCCAGGACATTATTGATACCTCGGTGTCTCACCGTAGTCGTAAAACCGTACGTACTGAGCTGATGAAAAGCGGTTTAGTTGCCTCGATGTTGGGAATATGCGCCAGCGCAGGAAAAGCCCCGCACATCGCCACTTGTGCGGCGAATCGTTGTGTGGAAGTACAAAACGTAGAGTGGTGATAAGGAGGAAGCGGGCGGTCTGCTTACGCGCACAAATGTCATAAGAATGGATCAATACACCTACACAATCAGACGAAAGAGTCGTATGACCAAATGTATGTTATGTAGTACATAATGTAATGAAATGTAGGCAAGGCCTTTTTTCGAGTCAATTGCAGTGTTAAAAATTTTTCGCTGAAATTTCCGGTAGACCCGCTGAAATTTTTTTTCGCACTTTAGTTCGACTGAAATTTGGAGGAATTTCATCTTTGGAAATTGCGACTTTCATGATAAATCAACGAGAGCGAGAAATTTCAGTTTAATTATACCATGAAAATCAATAGAAATCGTGAAATTTTTTTAAAATATATTCTTGAAGGGTAAATTAATGGAAAATGTAGCGTAATTTGGCGCTGACTATTACTGTGTTCATTGGAAATTCAATTACGGTGAGGAATTCTCGTGTTAATGTTGTTAAAAATTTTGTAATTGCATTAAATTTTCCGTGAAATCTGAAATTTCATGATTTTTCCCCTCTAAATCACATTCAGTGTCGATTGCCCGGTGGCTTGGCGCAGTGGGTAAGTTCGTTGCCTCACCTGCGAAAGGTTCCGAGTTCAAATCCCGATCGGGTAGGGTGCGATCTAACCATTTAAAGTCTTGATCATCATTGCAGTATACCCTAACCGGGTCCAAGCGATGTAAAATAACGGTAAAAAAAAAAATTCAATGTCGACCGTCCGTGAAATTTCAATTTTTTTTCTAACAGTGTGGGACCTTTTATCAATCATTTTTTATTACGTCCTCTGTCCTTGAGTTTTATCACTCCAAGGTGTGTGATAATAACTGGCCATTTTCGGGACTGTAAGGTTTATATTGTAGTTTATTGTGAGGAAGGATCCAGTGATGGAGGGAAAGGAGCCAAGTCCAGAATGAGTTTCTAGAGCATTTGATGAATATCTATTATACTAGGACGTCCCGGAAAACACATCCAATGTGCTTTTTCAGATGAAATTTTATGAGCTACTAAAAATGTTTCTCGACTTTTTTCGTTCACGCTACTCGCTGTAGCAATATTCACAAAGCAAAATGCAAATATATTTTACAATCACTTCCCTTTCCAAATAGAAAGATACTTTGGAAATATTGTTAGGATATTGTTGAAAATATCAGAAAGATTTTGAAAAATCAATAATAAGATTTTTTTTAATAGAGAATTCAAGAAGATACCGAGAAAGATCTCCTGTAGTTTTTTGATAAATCTACTGGTTCTAGAGATATTGGCAGAATATTTTGCATATCTGTGTTGAGAAGCAGAAGGTTACGAAAAATTTCTATAAATTTTCGCAAACAATTCCATAAACTATACGGAGGATGCCTTCTGATCGAAGCAATAAAATTGTATATTGCCTGCCTGGAAAGTTCACTTTTTCACACGCCGTGGTGTTACCCCTAGATTGGTCACCATATGAGGCAAACTCCGCCGCGCGTCGTTTTTCTTCAACGAGACCGAACGCGCGCTACAGCGCGCTGTAATTGTAACAATCATAATTGAAAATCTCAAAATTAAATTAATCATTATGAATTAAATTTGCCGCCTCAGACGACTGGAGCCAATGAGGAATAAGCGTGACAGTCTTGCGAGATATCGATAGTTATCGACTTTAAGTGTATGTTCTTTTTAGAATAGGATTACAATTGACTGGCTAACCGGAAAGATTTAAAAAAAATTGACTTTGTCAATTGAATTATCTAAAGAATTATAGTAGTTTTTAGAACAACATATTTCCCGTAATTTCTAAAGAAAAATTATTTTGAGCAGATTAACTATTTTTCCCGTGTTAAATGAAGTTGTCCATCATGCGACGTTGCCGGAAACTCGCTAAGCGCGTCCGAGCAGTGTAGAGTGAATTCGGCAACGCTAGAGCCTAAATAACACGGCGGGGAATCCCCGCGGAGGTGACCAGAGTCGCAGGGTCACGTTTGGTAACCAGACCATCAGGGTTAACTGGCACTTTCCACGCGCTGCGCGTGTGTCAAGAGTACACTGTTGGAAATTTTTTTTAATTTCATGAAAGATATGGTAAATCTCATGAGAGTAAATTGAATCGAATTTAGAGAAAAAATGGTCATGAAATTCCAAGTTTTAAATAAAATTCACGGAAATTCATGAGTTTTCAGTGGGAGTGAGATGGAAATTTTACAACTTCATTGAATTTTCAGTAGAACGTGAATGTTCAGAAACGCAATGACATGAATTTTCAATTTTTCCCTGAATTTTCCTGATTTTTCTGAATTTTCACAGAATAATTGAACAGAAAATTATTATTATACAATATTATATTATATAATTTAATATTAATATTATATAATAATAAATATTGAATAATGTTAAATAGTGTTTGTTAATTTATTTAATATTTAATATAATATTAAATTATTACCATTTGATTTTTCAATTACAACATTTCTTGAAATTTCAGTGCAACTTGAACACGATAAAAATTTCCAGAATGTGGCACGGAAAATTCAGACAAATAGTATATTTCAGAGCTAGTGCCATGGGGTTTCTTACTCGCATGAAAAAAACCTCATGGCACTAGTCATGAACGATATTTTTCCGTAGTGATTTTCACTTTTACGAGTTTGGGGAAGGGCCAATGCCAGTCCCCGGACGAGAAAAAGTGAAGGTCAGTACGGAATTAGTATATTTCGATACGAGACGGAATTTTTACGAGCGTGAAGTTAGCGGACCGAGACGAAGCCGAGGGCTGCCAATCACACGAGATGAAAATTCCCGTTTCACATGTTTCGAACGATATTTTTTATCACAATGTGTGGAAAAGGGACGTTTTAGGCACGCGAAGTTTAGGTACTCGTGGGAAAAGTGTTTTTTGGCTCGTGGGATTATATCACTCGCCTTCGGCTCGTGCTATAAAGCTCCTTCTAAAAAAAACTTTTTTCCGCACTCGTAACGAAACATACTATTTCATCACGCTGTGCGAAAAAGTAACTTTTTAGGCCCGCTTCACGTGCCTAAAACGCCCCTTTTCCACAAATTGCGATGAAAAATATCGTTTGATACTCGTGGGAAAAGTGTTTTTTGCCTCGTGGGAGGTTTATAGCACGAGCCGAAGGCGAGTGATACAATCCCACGAACTGTTGCTGTTGAATTTACATTAAATTTCTATTGAGAATTCTACGAGTTTTTCGCCAATGTGTGTAGCAGAAATGTTCAAAAGAAAATATTTTATAGAAACGATCAACAAATTTTGTTCTATTTATGCAACTTCTTCTGTTAAGATTGTTTCTATAGAAATTGCTGTAGAGAAACTTCTGTAGAAATTCAAAATTTTCAAGCTTAATTGCTTGAATTTATTAATGGAAAAAGAATACATTGGAAAATACTTACACAATTAATGGCGAGAAATTTTTGTAGACAGATGCAAAAAGGGGTATAGTAAAATGTTCCCCGGTATGACGTAATCGCTCACAAAAAGAAAAAGAAAAATCTATAAAATCTGAGGAATTTTTGGATTTAGTAGACAACTACATGGAGAGAAAAATTAGATAAAAATTACCTAGAAAATCGTGGCAAATTTCATATACGAATGGTAATATTGGAACGAAATGTAATTTAGTGAAAAACTGATTTTTAGTAGATATCTTACGATTTCCCGGAAAAAAAAACGTCTATGGATGCCAAACTTATCCTCCTGCTTAGTAAAATTTCCCACGTGGGTAGGGTCTTTTTTGTTTTGTATGTGGGAGTGAATTTGTACCGAGCGGGTTCGGTAAAACTCATTCTCTGTCAGAGAAAAATTGTCGAAAAAATTGGAGCAATTATTCACGTCCACTGGGATAATTTTTGATGGGATGAAGGGTAAATTTTACAGTTTCGGTACAAGTCACCCTAACGGTCAGTAAGATTTCCCGGACCAACGGAGTAAAATTCACTATTAATCGCTCACATACGGGGTCCCTGCCAGGCAGCGACCCTAGTCTAAATGGACAGGTCTTTTCGAAATTGAATATTTCCGAAACTATGGATAATAATTTAACCAAACAAAAACCTTGAGAAGAGGGATACTGTAGGCTCAATTACATATCGGTTTTACTATTATCCATTCATCAAAAGCGATAAGATTTGAGTGATATCGTGCGTCAGACGAGCTTAGTAACAAAAACGCCGCGTACGTGATGGGGTTAATCTCGCACGTTTTCCTCTATTTAAGATGAAATGGAGTTTGCTCCCCGATTACTTGACTTGTTCAGGAATTTTTCCCCAACTTTTTTCTCCGTGTAGGGGCTTTTTCATGACCCTTTTATAACACCCAAAACTTATCCTCTTCTATGGCTCTTTGGGGGATGATGAGAGAAATTTTTGGATGGTGGGGATTTTAAATAGGAATTTACTAGCTGAATCGTGAAAGGGGAGAAGGCTGGAATGAATTCAGATGAAACTCGGGAAAGATCTTTTCTGCAGCCCATCCAATTTTCTACGGAGGGAGTTTCGTGGAATTTTTCGATAAATTCAGTACAGAGGGAGATATTCATGACATAATCTGTAAGGAATTTTTTCATTCACCACCACAACTGCAAGTATTGAGATTTTTTTGCGAATATCTTTTCGAAGAAGAGATTTAGGCAAATCCGTCAAGAAACGAAGAAATTTGGCCGAAAAAATTAGTCCATTTTGACCCAAATTTTGAAAAATTTCGTACCGTCTCCCTCAATCGTGGAACATTATACAGCACTTAGTCGAGGAAAAATGTTGCGATGCAAGTTGACCATTTCTTCCGAGGAAAATACGTCAATGGTATTAATCACTTGACGTTCCACTAAACATTAGTCACAAAAAATTCGAATAAAACAGAAAAACATATTGACTTTAAAAATTAACAATTTTCAATTTATTCAGAATATATCTCAACAAAGGTAGAGACACTTTTTTAATATAAAATTTGTTTTTCACTCATTTCTGTCTTTGTTTCAATTACAATTCAATTAAAAACACGACACAAAATTCAAAACTATTCAATAAGTAACTAATTAAAAAAGTAATTGTACATGCCTTATTGCACTATTTTGACGTTAATTTGAACAATTCCAATGTTGGAGTGAACTGAAGACACAGGGAACAAAATTTGTTGGTTTGAAGTATAATATAGGAGGATTGAAATTGATATATGGACAGATTTTAGAGAATTCAGTCATTGAATTATTACATGGTAACTCTTGATTTTTCATTGATAACACCATTGATAATATATTTCCGGCAAAACTCACGAATTATTCTCTCGACTACGTAAGAATTTATTCTTAAATATATTATATTATGTACATGTATAGAGGAAGTGATGAAGATCAAACAAACTATCATCACCTTTTCAACATAAAAATATTTAATTTTTCGCAAAGTAATTTGACACTGAATAATTCCAGTAAAAATTCAAAAAATTAAGGAAGAAATCAAAGTCTTTAGCCTTTTAATTTGAAAATTGAATAGTAACAATACAAAAATAACGGAAGGCGTCGATTGCAAAGAAACGTACAAATCTGATATTTCAAGTATAAAAAACGAGTTCTGAAGGCATCCAAGTGTGAGCTCTTAACCATGACATTATCTCAGAAATGAGTGGTTTCAGAACAAAATGCCAGCAAACCTTTTTTGTGGCTGTGAAAATTTTAGATGAAAAAGATCTTGTAACATTTGATCTTGAAATCACTCTCTAGATAATTTTATAATAAGAAGGGGAGTGACGGCCCATAAAAAAATGGATTTTAGAAAAAAGATAGATCTTGGGATTTCTAGAGTCTAAGGATATGCTACAAACCACTTACATGAGGTCCCTTGAGCTCGAATGAATATGATTATACTGGATACATCCATTCAATCATATAAATTATTAATTATCATCTTCTGAAAATGCAGATCATGTATGAAATTTGTATTTCTTCAGATCTTCTTCTGCAATGCAATTTTCGATAAAAATTGATTTTCTCGATTTCTTTGAAATAATACAGTCATATCCCCTTGATCACATTATCCTTCCTACTATGTTTTTTGTCCCTTCTCACTCTCGAATCTCCTCAAATTAAATGATGTCTTAAGTTTCATAAAAAAAAAGAACAGGTCAATTCACATGAGCAACGAAATCGTTAAACGCCACAACCTCCAACTCTCATTAAATATTAAATTAATTATTGGCTTTTTTTCAGACATTTTTTATCTTTCCAGTAGGAGAGATATTTTTTTGGGCGAGCTTCCCCTGGGACGAAAATCTCCTAACGTTTCCCCCTGAAATCACTCGTCAATTGCGAAGAAACGTACAAATTTGACATTTCAAACATACAAAACGAGACCTGAAGGTATTCAAGTGTGACCTCTTCACCATAAAATTATCTCAGAAATGAAAATTTTCAGTTATAATACCCCGAGACCTTCAAAATTATCGGAATATTTCCCGATAGCTTCGTTGCAAACAAATGAAAGTGTCAAGTTTTGCAGGCTAAACATTTTTTTGCAAAACTTGACACTTTTGTTTGTTTGCAGGGAAGCTTGAGGGAAATATTGCGAGTAATTTTGAAAGTCGAGGGGTATTCGGCGGAGAATTTTCCAGGACGGCTTCTTCAAGCAAAACATCCAATTGATTAGAAATAAATGAAGAGCCTATGCAAATATCAGATTCAATTTCCAGAAGCTAGTGTGCAATTTCCGAAAAAATTTGATAACAATAGAGTATCCTCGAATACTGCGCTGTGATTGGCGGAAAAATCCAGTACCGGAAAATTCTCAATTCAATTATATAAATTATTGATTATCAGATCAGATTTGTATTCCTTTCAGATCTTCTTCTGGAGTGCAATTTTTGGTAAATAGTGATGTTCTCGATTTCCTCGAAATAATATAATCATATTCCTCCAATCTCATTATCCTTCCTACTATGTTTTTGTCCCTTCTCAACCTTGAATCTCCTCAAATTAAATAATATCTCAAGCTTCATAAAAAAACGAACAAGTCAATTCACATGAGCAATGAAATTGTGAAACATCACACCCTCCGACTCTCATTAAATATCAAATTAGTTGGATGATGAGTGACTCCACGAGAAAAGGCAATGGAGCGATTTTTGTTTTCAAAGATTTTTTAGCTTTCCAGTAGGAGGGATATTTTTTGGGAGACAGCTTCCCCTGGGATGAAAATCCCCCAACGTTTTCCCCTGAATCACTCACTCTCCAAGTTCCCATATCACGTTTTCTCATTACACTTGAAAAAACGATTGAAATAATTGCATTAAGAGATAAAGTAAAAGTTCACCTGCTCGTTCTCACCCCCAGGAATGTTGAAGAAACCTACTCAGTCTGAAATCCTAGTGCAACTGTAAATTCTGTACCTCCTCGAGAGAAACCTCGAGAATAATATTCAAAAATTGAATTTAGAGACAATAAATTCCTTGATATATTTTTTTCTCTCTGTTCTATCATGATTTATTAGCACTGCAGCAGGTTGAGCAGTCGAAGCAGCTGGTATGCTATCTCTTGATGGACCACGATGGCCGTCCACTGTTCGCTGATTCATTGGATTTTGTCAGCTGTTTTTGAAGGACAGCAGCAGTGTCCTGCAGGGCCTGTTTCTCCTTCAGTAATTCGGAGATATAGTCCTGAGCTGCGTTGAGACTCGATTTGAGGATTTCTAGCTCTTGGTGAGACCTTCTCAGCCGAGAATTCTCCTCTGACAGTCTTTCTAGGGCTGCGAGACGTCGCTTCAACTCCTCATTGTCCCCTTTTAACTGTCTCGATGACTGTCTTAATGAATTCAACTCTTGTTCTGTTTCACTACTGATAGTGCATTTGCCAATTCCATTCGCTAAATTTGCTAGGGAACGCTTATCACTGTGGGGTTCAACGTGGAAAATTCCTTTTTTATCTCGCAATATCTGGAGATTTGAGATGACTACGTCGATGGGAACGGGCCCTGGAGATGTGATATTGTTCGGGGGTCGGTCTTCGTTCAATCGCAGACAGATGTTCTCCAAGAATATCTGAATAACAGATGTAAATAGATTTATCCGATAAGTGGGTTTATTATTAAGCGAGTTGGTGAGGGGCATATGTATTCGTTGGATTTACTGAGATGACGCTGGCTCCCACAATAGTTTCTTTGGTGACTATGTTAGGGATTTACTGGGGAGGGGGAGGGAAAATCACGATTGAAATGTTACGTAAAATACATGGGAAATATCGAGGAAGGCTTGATGAATTGAGATAAGAGTGTTCCTTTCAACAATATTTCCAGAACAAAGACTGATTCTATTTTGGCGCTCTTTGCTTTCAGCAGTTGACTGTTCAATACGACTGTTAGTACTTTGGAATTGCCCCTGTGATCGATTTCATATTGATAGATTCATCTGTATCGCAAACGAACAGAATCGATTAATTACGCAGTAAAAAAATTACCTCCCGAAATTCCAAGAAAAAATTTGGAAATTTTGACGAACGGAGGAGCCTCCCTAAAACGAATACATATAATTGAAGATGTGGACTATACTTGTAGATACGAAAGTCAAGACATTGACCGCATTCTGTGGTACTGTTCCACCCTGAGCAATGAAAGGAAAACACTCATTAGAGCATTCAAACAATTTAAAGTGCCACTTACGAACTGAATCATCCCATTATTGACAACAACAGATCTAAAAATCCTTAAAATACTACTCAAAAAATTACTGATAATGTGACATTACTGATAGTGTGATAAACATTACTGATAGTGTAAATAAACCTTGCATATTTAAGCACGTTAAACAATTAAAAAAACAACGGAGGATTGACAGGTAATTTTATAATTTGTTAGTGACAAATCAATTAATTTCTGGAATGTTTGAAAATTGTGCAAATGCAAACAATCATCGCTCTTGATTTCTAACCCATTATAAATTCAATTGAATGTAACGTTCAGTTTTTCTACAAACATATCAGTGATCGTCTAACATGAAGGACTCAATTTTTTTCAACTCCCAGAATAAACAAGATATTCCGTGAACGATTCGTTCCCAAATTGAAGTCAAGTTCACGAAATTGAAAATTGAAATGTAACCATTACTTGAGTTGCAAAAAATTTCTAGTGTAATTCTGCCTCAATGATTTCCGTATCTATGTGAAATCGTCAACTACGGAAGAAGCATTATAACACTGAAACAGAAGAAATATATCTTTCAATGGAGTTTCATCTCGAGAGATTGAAATAAAAATAAAAAGATATCGAATTAAAATTAAAATTGCCATTTGATATTTTTCTTGCCCATATTGAAAAACCATAATTAAGGGAAGGTTCACCCCAGAAAAAATGTTTTCGGTTTTTTGGAAAAAAAAAAAAACAAAGACCAAATCAGATTCCTGAAGGAAATACTATTTTTTAATTTTTTTTCCCCTTAACAGTTCAGGAACAAGTTAACATGTTTCACCTCATGATTTCTACTAATAGTGCAGCAACGATACAACCTCAACTTGGATATTTAATATCGAGAATGAACGCGATGATAAACGATACTCAAGTTACCATTATTTACGAAAACAATTTTCCACTTGGTTACGTCAAACAAAGTTCTCAGAGAATAGCAGCGAAATGCGAAACTCCCAGCGTGGGTGAAAACTTCTCCCATACCTGGGGTGTGTATTAAAGTCATTAAAGTTGATGACAAAAATTCTAACAATGGAGAATATGAGTTTCAAACTCTAGGGTGCATTTAGTGCATCACTCACTTTATTGCATTTATCAGCATGAGAGAAGCTGCAATCATGTTATGGGAAGTTTAATTTTCGTGGAAATTGAATTTTTCATGGGCCAATTACACAGTGACCTCGGAGAAGTGAATTTCATCACGAAGAGATTTTTTTTTACCCAGAGGTGAGGAGGAAAAATTCTGATGTTAATTGAATTCTTGATTATTTGCATGGGAGCAGGGGCATTTAAATATTACGTCACATCATTAGGTGAGAAAAAGGGAGAGGTTTGTAGGGGTGACGTTTTATGATGAAGGGAAGATAATATTTTTTTATATTTCTCAAGTTACCGATTATCTATGAAATTGCAAACTTTGTGTAAGAGGTAAATTCTTATAATCAACACTAGCAGAATAAGACTAAATTCAATGCCAGGATTTTTGAGAATTCCTGAAATTAAAAAAACACCTCAATGTTTTCGACTTTTCTAGAACAACCGAGGATTTCCTAATTTCTTTGGAAAACCCTCAAATTTTCCCAACCCAAAACCTTCAAACCCGCAAAAGTCGAGAACATTGAGGTATTTTTTTCAATTGCAGGAATTCTCAATAATCCTGGTATTCAATTTTCCTTTATTCTGCCCGTGCGAAGCCGGGCCACACAGCTAGTCAATCAGAATTTGAAATTAAATTGCTCAATTGGGACAAGAAAAAATTTATTTAGAAAACCCAAGAATTTTTTCGAATTTTCTAGAAATTTCAAAAGTTTTTTCAAATTCTCTGTGAAATCAAAGTTTTCCGGAATTTTTTCAAAAGTTGGAGAATTTTTTCGAATTGTTCGGAAAACCCAAGAATTTTCTGCAATTTTCGGTAAAACCAAAGAATTTGCTCATACTTTCTATAAAATCCGAGAATATTCAAGAATTTACCAGAAAGTCCTTGAATTTTCTAGAAGTTTCTACGGTGCGAACTAAACTATATACCGTAGCCGATTGAGGATCCTAAACTATGTAATAGTGCAAATACCATTGAAATCCATTCAGTCGTTTTTGCGTAAATTGCGGGCAAAAATAGGCAAGAGACTTATTATATTGTTGCGTATTTGTTCTTTTCCCCTCTCTCAACTAAATTCATGTACAATCGTCTCTTTCTTTTTTCGTCATTCTTTTATCTTTGTTCTTAGGACATGTCACTTCTTTTTGTATCTTTTATTCATTATTAGAATAGGATTCTTTTCGCTCATTTTATTTAAGGTAAATGATCCTACGCTCGTCCAGCTAAAGTGAACACATCATTAGTCCAATATTTCTCGCTCGAAATGAGCGTGAAGATGCGATGATTTAAATTACATATCAGAGGGTAAAACCTTCAGAATTGAAATTTATTTATGTTAATTATGATAATTACTATTTTTTAATAAATAATCGTCCATGAATGTGAAAAGTTCCATGTCCCTATCCTCGTCTCGTGATTTGAGTGATATGGAAAGGTTATATCCGACCTAATTACATCGTGAGTATCCTATTTTGTGATAAAACAACATTAAAAAATATCTCGATGCACAAAATTATATTTCCATTGGACAGTCCAACCTTTTAAATAATTTTTTCATCCGTTCAGTCCGTTACCAGTTGACAGTTGGGTGCAAAACCAGCGTAGGATCAATGCCATTTTCATTGTACCTATTCTTTTAATTGGCAATATTTCAGTGAAATATTCGGATGTTACTATAATTTATGCATTTTTATTAAATTTTTAACTATTCGAAACCTTAGCCAAGGGATTTTCAATTCCATTTTAATATTGTAACGGAGATATCAACGTTTTAAAATTGTGAGTTTCTTAACTTGTCGCTTAAGAATTAACTCTGTCGTAGCACGTGAATGTGATTTTTCTCTATTATTATTCAATAAATCACTCTGCATTGGTGTCTATAACTTTTCTTATCGACTAAAATAATAAATCCAATCGTACTTCACTCTTAACAGAGTCTTGGGACTATCAAAATGATTGAAATGTCATAGCTGGCAGGATCTGAACGAGCGTAGGGACAGAGACGGGCATAGGTACATTTACCTTAATAAACTCTTTTTTTATTTAAACGGTAACTTATTTAACAATATTCAAGATTTACAACATTAGACTGAAACTTTCATTTTTTTGTCTCAGAAATCAACTTAATAACCACAAAAATTATAAAAATAATGGCTCGATACCTTCAAGAATGTTTTAATTAACAGAAAAAATTATTTGAAGGGAAAATAACAAAACGAAGAACAATTAAATTAAGAAATTGTTTAATACAGCCTAGTGTGCCCAAGGTAATTGATATTTTCGAATTTTGTATCAGAAGACCCTGAAATCGATGGTGGATTTTTATAGATTTTTATAAACATTTTCTTTGGCAGCATAAGCCATTCAAAGTTTCGCAGAACTATTTGACCTATTGGCAGTTTGTAATCATTAGGTTTGGGGGAAAGTCCAATTGCTTTATGACCCTTCGTTGCCAGGTAGCAAAGTGTCGAACTCATTCCGGCGCCATGTGTTTTTCTACCTACGACCCGACTGGGTATCAATGTTTCCATTGCCGTTCCGGGCTTATTATAGAGCAGCCCTTAGCAAACTACCTGTGTTGATGCATCGGAACATATTTTCGTTTCACGGAAATAGTTTAAATAAATTTTGGGAATGTTATTTTTTCAGAGGATAGAAGCAGATTCGCAGTTGAATTAGTCTGAAAAATGATGAAAATATTTTTCTTCATTTGGTAATTTTCCTTGATCGGCTTGTGAGGTCTGCGTTCACTTGTCGATATTTTTGAAACTACGAAACGACGAGATTATGCAAACACGTCGTGGAATGAGTATAAATAAGGCAAAAAAATTACTCACCTGCCACATCTGATTATAAGAAACTCTCATTTGTGAAGAAAACTTTGGAAAAATTAATATTGAACATGAAATTATTTCACAACGTTTAGCATACAAAATTTCTGGAAATTTGGTTTTCAGTCATTTCAGTCATTCGATTGGTAGTCAAACGAATATTACCTGAGGATCTGAAAAACGGTGAATAATAGTGAAGCAATTTATGATACGAAAAGTTGAACCTCTCGCTCGCACCTCATCTAGGTTTTAGGGGTGGAGCTCTCACCTATTTTGTCCTTCCTCAAATACCTTTTGACAATTTCCTCGTCCACACTAAACGTCAGTCGAAGAAAGACTTTCAAACAGTCAACATCACATCAATCGCTATTCCAAACGTTCTTTCTACAGTAATTTCCAAAAATAACTCGTAAATATGCCACAAACACGACAAAGTACAGAGATTGCATTAGTAGGTAATGTAACACCAGAAATTCACGGGAACCAATTGCCTTCAGTATTCCGAAACTTACTGCCCGCGAAGCTTTGAAGTGTGTTGTACAAAAGTGCGCTGTGTTCTGGCAATATGCGGGGATTCCGATCGTGAACGAGTCTTATGCTATTAGGAAAATGGAAAAATTAGTGCGAAACTACAAAACTATCCTCAAGTGCGGCTCTCGAAGGAATAAATACGTGAATTATCAAGTGAAAGAAATTGATTTCAAATGTACACTGAGTGACCTCTTCGATATTGCTCATCAGAAACAAGTGAGTGTCATGAGGAATGAAGCAGCATGGACTCTATTAAGTCTTCATCGAGAGAAGGGACGAAAGGGTCACTTGGATATAATCATCGACACGGGGACATGGACTGTCAGTGATGCACAAGAAGAACAAGAGAATGAAGGCACATCCCAGTTATTGAAACAAGGTACGTTAACAATAAATTTTACTCCAAACGATTATCCATTGTGAGAGGAATGGTCGACGTGAACTTCATCTCTATTTTTTGGGCATAGAACACGATTTTCAAAGTCGTTTCATTGAACAGTGATGAGACAAACTGAAATTCAAATTGAGTTGATGCGTCAACTATTGAAAATAGAGAGAAAAATGTCGAAACAATAAAACATGTTCTTGACGTTAAGAGGTAACGAACCGGAGGAATGAATAAAAATTATGGGAGGAAACTCAATTCAAAATTTCACACGGATACAGTGGATAACGGAACCCACTTTATTCGATCTGAAGAGAAACATATTTTTTATTCTAATATTCTTCTTTTCTCTTTCCACTAGTTCACGCGTCAACTCTTAATTTCAACCGCTCTGATAGCTTTCTTCTGTTTTTTTTTAAATAAAACTAGATTAGTCCGCGCGCTCCGCAGGCGTATTTCCTACTCCATAGGGCTTAATGTATATCAATTGTAATAAATAGTGTTATATTATATTTTTTAAAGCTAATATCAAGCTTTCCGAAGGAAAAGTTTCAGGAATGTACTGTATTTTTTTATATCCCTTTTATAAAAAAGCATGTAACGTTTTTTGTCACCATTTTTCGCGACATAGCGTAGCGTATCATATGAAGAACATAATTAAATAACATATGAAATTAAAAACATAAAATATAAAAAGAATCTATATTTTATATACATATATAATACATTCAGCGTAATATGTTTGAAGCCAATCTATTTTGCCTATTGTGTCATTAGAGTTGTTATAAGTGATGATAGCGTAAATTAAATATATTACGATAATGCTATTATATATTGTATAGGATATTATATGTATTATAAAGTATAATGGACATAATCAAAAAAATTAAATAATAAACTGATATTGTGCTACATTACATACCCTTATATATGCGTAATGTATTATAATATAGCATAATATAGAATATAATACAATACAGCACTATCGTAATATCTTTAATGTATGTTATCATCATTTACAAAAAATCTAATGACACAATACGCCGAATAGATTGGCTTCGAAAAACGTTACACTGGTTTTTTTTATTAAAGGACATTGAAAATCATATCCTAGGGTCCAAGAATTAGAAGGAAAGTTCAAGTTCCAATTCTCCTTATAATGGATGTAAAATGATTCCTAGCATTTTTCAATGTTTTTCATCGCTTCATAATTAATTTTCATTCATTTATTTGATTTCATAGTTAAACCAGGGGAAATCGCGGCAAATGGCGCCAATTACGTTTTTGATGAATCTGAAGATATTGTGGAACTATTGGAGCAGTGGGAAGATACTGAAGGAAGAGACTGCGACTATGAAGTTAAATTGCCGTCCGCGAAAGCGAAAAAAGTAAAGATCATGAATCAGTAATTTAGTTAGGAAGATTGACTATTATTTGAATATTTTATTCAATAAAGAATAAACAAGTGGACAATGGCACTTTTTTATAAATTAATACAATAATTGTTGCTAATGAATTAGCAATTTGCTTCGGAATGGGATTTCTTTTTTGAAATTCTTATTTCAATATTCTCTTCTTCTATTTTTTATGTCATAGTACTATCATCAAATAAAACGTCATCAAAATTTTGCGTATTATTTCGTTTTGTCAAATAATTCTACATTCAGACTCTTTCGAGACTTGAATTCGTTTTCATTCCCGGTTTAATTAAGGTTCAATCCAGGTTTAATCAGTGTTTATTCAGGATTTCGCCAGAGTTTAACCCAGGTTCTGTTAAAAATTAGTCGGAACCACGAATCAATATGAATAAGTATTCAACATAATAGACTAGTACCTCAGTTTAATAAAGATAGAGATTTTGATATAAAAAGCTCATGACGGTATTGTGTAACTTGATAAGCAATGATGCTGTTCTCACCATTTTTTGACTTGCTCAAGAAGGCATTGAAATATACTTTTCAAGCCTTGATTTAATTGCTATTACTAATTATTCTTTCAGTAATCAGGAAAAAACCGATTTTCTCTTTCAAATTGCATAAACTATGCGCTGTAGCTCAACAACGAATTGTGCGACCCCCATCATATTCGGATAGAATCAAGAGGGTATTGTTATTAATCTTTTGAGCCATGACTAATTCCATTTTGATGACAACTTTTTAAGGGATTGTTGGAAAATCGATTTTGGGAAAAATATCAATTTTTTCGAATCTGTATGAAAATTCAATTTTAATTGGTGTCAATAAATAGAGCTCATTAAAGTCTATATTCATGGAAAAAATCATGAAATTCGATTAATCCTTGACAAGAAAAAAAAATTTTCCAAAGTTCGAAAATTTAGAAAATTTAGAAAAAAATTAAAAGGCCACCACATATCCACCATCTAAAAATCGGATATTCTGATTTTTTAGACCATATTTAGTCACCCTAACACAAAGAGTAGGAAACTTAAATTTGATCGATTTCAAAGCTTCCATTCGAAAGTAAAAATAAGAAAAATATTTACCTTCATAGGTAGTGGATCCGGAATGACCTCGTCCTCCACAAGATCCGTCAGTCCAGCCACATAGCTCATCGACAGTGCCAAATTAACATTCATAATCTTCGCCTTGAGTTCATCCTGGAACATGGCCATCAGTCCCGCCTTGCTCTGCAAATGACTCCCCCCCTTTTTACCCACCCTCTCCACATCCTCCTTCCTCAACCCATGAGTGAGCCTGACCCTGGCACACGCCCCACAATCAGCATCCGATGGAACCTCGACCCAGCCCCTTGACCTAGAACTAAATTTCGACTGGAATTCATCCCAGGGTATCGACGAGCATTCCTCGCTCGCTATTTTCGCCACTTGAGCCTTCACAACCGAATCAAAACCCGAGCTCTGCTGGACAACTTCAACCTTCGACAATTTAAATGTTATCATCGACACCAGATCCTTTCGTTTACAAGCAGAATCCATGGATTTTTCACTCTGCGTGTCAGGGGTTTCCTCAACAACCTCAGTAGCCTCTTCCACCGCTGTTATCCCAGTGACATTGAGCCCCCCAAAGAATGAATCCCCCTCCTCGAGCTTCTCAACAAGATAATTTTCACTGTCAGAGCTCATATCACTCCTCATGGAGACAGTATCACTGCTTCCATCCTCCGGAGATGCCTTCAGAGCTGAATCGATCGAGGTCATCAGATTGGCGAAGCCCTTCTTCATGGACGATAGTCCAACATTGAAATTATTTGGTATAAATGGAGTTGTCTCCGAGGGCTGACGCTTTAGCCTCGGGAATTCACCCTCTTGAATAGCATCGATTCGTTCCTGTTTGAATGTCACAACCTGTTGCGTTGGGTGCTCCATTGATATCATCGAGCAAACTTCACTCTGAGGAGTTTCCACATCGTTGGACGTGTTCAATCTTTTAGAGCCGAACTCCATTCGTGCTGCTGTCGCCATGTGGTGAGGCAGGGAGGAGGGAAGGAGGTCCTCTGCAATGCTGGAGGAGTCTGGAACGACTGACTCAAGGTCTCCACCTGAGTTCTCCTTTCCCGGGGTTTGCGAGGGCATTATGAGGGTCACTTCTACCTGGGGGATGAGTGCAGCTATCGTCAGCGAGCCTGACTCGACGTTGAGGATTCTGTTTGAGTCTACGACGAGGTAGGTACTCATCTCTGTTAAGATTTCCATCTGGCGAAGGAGGAAAAGGTACTGGTAGTGGTTCAACTGGACTGAGATGAGGTTGCTGATGTAGGCTAAGCCATGGATATCCGCTCCGCTGGGTTTGGCGGTGGAGGTGGTGGAGGAGGGAGGGGAGAGGTGCAGCCAGATGGTGACGGGAAAGGCGTCGAGGAAGGGAACTGGGCGGTTGGAACCTACGGCACGAGCTCCGAAGAAGTCCGCCCAGACGGGCTCGAGGCTGCAGCACCACATGTCTTTTGAGTCGATCCAGAGGAGCTTCTTGGTTAACTGCTTCGTGAGGTCATCGATCGTGGAGGCGTTGAAATTCGGAGGGTAGGAGCGAACGTTGTCTGTGCCTACAACAGAAAATAAAGAGTTTTAGGGTGATTTGTTTATCTTAAACAACCTCCATATGACCTCCATGGTCCTCCATCCTTATGACCCTCATTATATCCTTCGTGGCCCTTATTTTGACCCTTCATTTCTGACCCTTAATTCTGGAGTCTTAATTTTGAGCACCAAATTTTCATCACCAAAAATTGATTTGTATTTTTACAATATGGAGAGATATGGAAACCCTTATTTTCATCCTTGTAACCCTCAATTTCTGACCCCCGTAGACTCTTATTTGGAGGCTAAATCTGACCTTTGTTATCCTTAATCTGACCCTTGTGACCCTTAATCTTGCGATCCTTAATCTGACGCTTGTGACCCTCAATACATCCTTCCGGACCCTTATTTTGACCCTTCATTTCTGACCCTTAATTTTGAAGTCTTAATTTTGAGCACCAAATTTTCATCACCAAAAGTCTGTTTGGATTTCTATAATATGGAGAAATATTGAAACCCTCATTTTGACCCTTAGTGTGCCGGGGGTGAAATTTGCCTACGCAGTACAGTCGTTCGTCTTCTTGTTTCCTTGAAATCGAAGAATTTGCTAACAATGGTTGATAAAACCTGATTTGAATTGCTTCCGAATGGAAGCTTTGTAATCGTTCAAATCTAAGATTTGGATTTTTGTGTTATATCGACTCATTATGATCCAAAAAGTCCCCGAGATTGCAATTTTTAGACCACGTCCGTACGTGCGTGTATGTGTGTACATATGTAACAAAGTTTTTCGTCAATTGTTGGCCAATGAATGGATGAAATTGAGTATTTTTTTTTCAAATGGAGGTATTTTTGAGCCCTATGAATCGCTGTTAATTAAAATTTATTTCATCGATTAGTTTTTTAATTTTCGAATTTGTTCAAATTTGTTGAAAGTAGTTAAACAGAAATCTTATTCATTCTAATAAAATGAAAGAAACAATGAATTATACCTGATAGCAGGAAATTATGTGTAAAATAACCATGCGGAAACATATTGCTAATTTATTAGCAAAAATAACTATACTATATGCAATATAAGAGCAATTTCCCACTTGTTTTTATTTATTCAAGCATTTTAAACCAATGGGTTTACTCTACTTACCTAATGTTTACAAAAATCTGTATGACTCGATTAATCAGTAATTGTTGAGATTATTTTTCAAATAGTGGTGTTAGGAGAAAATAGAAATTTACTTTTTGTAGCTGAACTAATTTTACACAAAAAAGTGTTTTACCACTTTTTTATACGATCGTTATCAACTCGTTGTTTTCATTTTTGATCATAATACAATAAATGAAAATCCCAGAACAATTTACAAAAAATGGGAAAAGGAGATTTTTTAGTTTAGTTTCATGCAAAAAATAGATATATACCTGCACAATGACTCAGGAATTTCTCCGAGATAACATGGAAATCAGAATCCTTACAGGGAAATTCAGTCGAAAAGAACATTTGGCCCATTTGAAATGCATTTAAACACTCAGCTAAGTCAGCTCTCGATGATCTCTCAGTTGATCTCACGTTTGTTACCGACACTCTCGAGATTTGAAGGTGGAGGGATTTGGGTCTGTCTCTTTGGTTTGGATAATCATGTTGAGCTTCTAGAACTATCTGTTAAAATCGTGAAATAAATGCGTTTAAATTTATCTGCTTTCGTTCATTAAAAAATGGAAATTTTTGAGAGAAAGGTCATTTGCTCACCCTTGGTAATATGGCCTCGAGTTTAACATCAAAATACATTACATCAGTGTCTTCCATCTTATTCTCACCACCTAGAAGGGACTGATATAGGTTCAATGCAAACGAATTGAACCACAGACAACTGAACACATCGTAATTTATTTGCAGTGGATTGGCCTGTACGTAGAATTTGGGTGGTGGCACTGATAACAAACACACAACAGATATATTTCAATTAATTCACGTAAAAAAATTGTGGAAGGAAGTGGTGAAAGATTCTTCAGATTTGGAAACTTTAAGGGTCTCATGTGGGTAAATTAGGGTGCCCGTTCGGGAATTTTTGACGTGCTGACCCCTCAAAAGACTCGAAATAAATAAAAAAAATCCTCATAAAATTTCAGCTCTCTACCTCAATCCTAACACGTTTTTTCCCATAAGAATAAGGGAGAGTGAGGCAAAATGATACAGCCAAAAAACGACTATTTGACGCAATTCAAGCGAAAAAAATTTGTTTCATTAACTTTTTTTTATTAACTTTTTTTATTACTGGGAGTACTGATGAGAATAATAATTTTCTATTCGGTAGAAAAGAACATGCGGTGCGAGAAAATCACTGATATTCAAAACCCCTATATAGCGTATCGACTACCTCCACAGATGAATCCCACTCCCCTGTTCGATCTCGATCTCAACGTCCACTAGTCAACTTGTTCCCTGACTCTCCAGCAGCCAAACTAAGACCTTGTCATCGCTGAGTTTATGTTTTCTCCTCATTCGAAACTTTCGGAGGGTTTTCATATATTTCTTGTATCGAGACGACAATATTAATAATTTTCACTAACTTTATCCACAGTTCTCGATTTAAGTAACATGAAATATTTCATCTATAATTCAATTGATTAGATTAGGGGGATTGTACTTCTCTCTTTTCATTCGATTGAAATTCAGCATCATATTTTCCTTTCTCCCCCTCTGAGTCTTCCCTTTGGATTTTGCTGTTTCATTTTTTTTTTCAATCAATCCATTGACAAAATGCTCTCCCGTCAAAACTTCTCAATAATTTACCATTCTACTGAATGAAAAATTATTATTCTCATCAGTACTCCCAATAATAAAAAAGTTAATAAAAAAAAATTTTTTTTGCTTGAATTACGGCAGTCCTTTTTCGACTGTTTCATATTGCCCCACTCTTCTCTACATAACATGATTTCTATGAAAAAATATCTTCTAACATTTCGTCCTAAACTCCTTCCTTCTCAAGATAAATTGAAAATCACCAATGACGTCATGTCCTTTCTGAACCACTTCACCACTTCACAATTTAATCTATACATCCATAACTTTAAGTCCTTACATGGAAATGAAATATCCCCAGGATAGTAATAATAAGTAAACTCAGCATGAATAATGGTAACATCATCAGGTAAACAGAATTTGTCTCGATCTCCTGTAGACAGAGAAATAAAAGTTATAAAACCGTGAATAATTATCAAACGAAGGGGTACATGAGATTGTACATAGGGACTGCCGTACAGTGAATTCATTTGGATATTATTAAGTGGAGACTACTATAAGTTTTAACAGTCGTGGGCTATTGGAGTGAGATTTTTCGTACATTGAGAATCGATTATATAAGTTTAAAAACGAATAATTAGTGAAAAAATCATTTTTTTCTTGTTCGTTTGCTCCGTAGATGCTTAAAATGTGTAAAATAGTCCAAGGCCTCCAAATTTTGATTTACAGAGGTTTTTCTTTTTCAAAATTTTTGAAAACATGTGTACAATTACAATTACGAGCCAGTTCTTTGAAATTCGCTCCTACACAACTAATGTCGTTTCTTGAATACAAAAAATTGCACTACATATTCATATAAAAAGGCCAGAAAAATGTTCCTCGAAGAATCTAGAATATATTTTAAATCAGGGATAGCCATATCCATAAATTATAATTACCATTAAATTATTAAGTGGTCAATTAGTTAATATCAATTTAAATTTTAATTATTGAAGTAATCATCAACTTAAATAGTTAGATTTTGCATTATTCAGTAATTGAGATAGGAAGATTGACATCTACTTAATGGAAAATTTATAGTTCCATATTTTTAAATTTTTATTTAATTCATCATCAATTAGAAATTTAGATTATCAATTATTTTACTACTTTTAAATTTCGATTAATATATTTAAACATTGATCAATGTAAGTCAGAAATTCGTTTAATATTGAAGAATCTGAAGATTGATGGCCATTCCCGTTTTAAATATTTTGAGGATTATTTTTCGGGCTATTTTACATGAATGGTGCAATTTTTTCTATAACTAGGGGGAACGCGCGCTGGCCAGGTTGCGTGAGATCGATATATGTCTTCATTTTTTAAATTCTAATTCCCTTGATTTTTACGTTCTACAACAACAAATACCCTTTGAAATGGTATATAAAAAGTTTTATTCACTTGACCAATAGGTATAGAAAAATCTAAACCAAGCTGAATTTACAATAAACGTTTTGAAATTCAATTTTTTGATAAAAACTTCCATATGTTAAGAAAAATTAGCCTCAATCAAATAGTTCAGGAGGTAATTTGAAGGTAATTAAAATATTTTGACCAAGGCATAAGATATTTCTACAGATTTGAACAGAAACCGAACAAATCTCGTCATTACAAAGAGAATCATGGAAATTTTCAAAAGGTGAGATACTAAAATAGCTATACTATCCCTTACAACAATTGATCTATTGGATGGAATAGATAATACGGGGTCTCAGTTTGAAGAACTCGTTGAGACCTTGAAATCGACATATGATATATTCCCACTGGTCACGCCTAAAGTCTCAATAAATGGCCAAAACCGTCATTTCCGAGGAGTGGCATAACGTAAAAAATGGAAACAATCTACAGTAACTTACAAAAAAATGAATTAAATCGAATTTATCATACACCATTTTGAAGAATAGTAAATGCTTTTCAAAATGATATGTAGATATCCCTGTCTAGTTCATTTAGAAGCATCGAAAAATCCAACCAAAGTTAATTTTTCTCGTAAGTCAATGAAAAATTGACACAATTGGGCAAATCAGATGTCATTTTGAAGCTTTTTCAATGAACTTTCAATTGAGTACATTAAATATATGGTTCATGAAAAAGAATGAAGGACTTGAGCACAGAAACCAAAGGAAAAACCTTGGTTACGGACACGGATTTTTCTGTAGAGGAAAAACCTAAATTAGCTGTGTAGGAGTCGAATTTCAAAAACTAACTCGTAATTATTATTGCACACTTTTTTTCAAATTTTTTTACAGAAACAACACCTCGGTAGCTCACAAATTGGAGACTCGACTATTTTTAACACTTCAAGCCTCAGCGGTGCAAACGAACAATAAACAATTGAATTTTTTGCACTGATTATTCGTCTTTCTACATATATTATCGATCTTCAATACGTGATGAATCTCACTCCAATAGCCCGCGGATTTAAAAACTCATAGTAGTCTCCCCTTAAATGCTCAGAGATTGGAGAAATGATAAGAATCGTCCAGAACTTGACATTCTACTATCAACAACTACTGATGAGAGATTGAGATAAATTTTCATACAAATATAGCTGAGAACTATGTGAAATTTTAGAGTGAATAGATACATTCAAGGCGACGTGCTCTATGCCACTACTGCATCGAGGATTTTACCTGTACCTGTCATATGCTTCTTCCTCGTTTGAGCTGTCCATTTAACGAATAAGTGCACAAAATCATTATTTAAAGACCAAATAAATTATCTTGTAATAGAAAAAAACTATTCAAAAAACTTATATGTAAGAGACAACAATAATATGAGAAAAAGAATTATAAAAATTATTTAAATCATTGGAAGTAAATTCACCTGTTATGAATTCCTTCGTTGTGGGCTTTCGTGTTGATGTTGTCACTTTGTACACGGTGAAGTCATTTATTCTGATGACAATGCAGGTCGTCATGAGGGTCGACAATTGCTCGAGAACAAAATTTTTAACTACGTTGCCACTGGTGTGAGATTTTTTCGTCTCTGACGTCACTAATGGACTTTGCTGGTCCATACTCTTTCGTTTTTCATCCCATGCTTGTTTTTGCTCACCACCTGAAAGGTTTTTAATTGGATCGAATCAGTTTTCATGGATTCTGTCGAGAGAAATTTAATTTTTGATTTCGAATCGAAGCATTGTATTCGTTCAAATTTCAGTTTCGGATTTTTTGTGTTGTATCAACCTATTATGATCCAAAAAGTCCGAATATGCCATTTTTATATATGTGACAAACTTTTTCTTTAATTGCCCGCTAAGAAATCGATGGAATTGAATTGTTTTTTTTTTAATGTATTGTTGAGTCCTATCTTTCTATAGAAATAATTTCGATGGAATAATTTGTATAGAAAGATCAAGTTCTATTGCAGTTTTTCATACAATATTTGGTATCGAACGCTTTTATAGAAAAAAGGGTGTAAAAGCTGCTGAATTTTTCAATTAATTCAACGAAGAACGAAATTCATTTTTTACGTCATAGCATAGAAATTTTTTCTTCTCTCCATAATCTACGATATATCACAATTTTTACTGGGTTTTACATCACGTAGGTGTCCCAAAAAATTAGGATTGCACAATAACAAAAAAGAAAAAAAGTTATAAAATATAAGGAAATAAGTCCGACTAAGAGGCCATTGTCAATGGATGATTTATCAGGACAACTAACGATCTGACAGGTATTGGCTACTGAGACACATAACGATTGAACAGCCATTAGATACTGTAAATTATTAATTTGCAATTTCCTCCCTATTGGGTTTATTTCGCAATATTATTCAAAAACGCTATTTGAAAATGCTCTGTTTTTTTCAACGTTTTTTTAATCGTACAATCATAATTTTTGAAGACTCCAGGGTTATGTAAAACTGTATGGCAATTGAAGAACATTTCAGATTATCAAAGTAAAAAAAAACAACCCAGATCACGTTCGAAAGATAATACACACGGAGTTTAAAGAGTAAATTTTCGAGTGTGGCAGGTATAGTCCTGGATTCTATTTCTGATATTAAGAATTACTGATCTCGCAGTAAAAAATAATTTTATATTCTTCCGTGCACTCATCGAAATGTATTTTCCAATATCTTCCATTACTTTGATCAGTGCTGTTACGTTTAGATGCCCCATGGCTCTGTCCAATATCAATGAGATCCATAAACTGTCCACGAAATGCATTCAGGGACTGCTGAAGCCATTGAGCATGAGGTGTGGCATTCTCCTTGTATTTAGCCCAGTGTTTTCGATCAGCCATAGCCAAGTGATAAGGATAGTAGTCTATCTGGAATTTAACCAGAGATATCTGAAGGGCGCCGCCGTCCTTTAGGTCAGGGTGAGACGATCGACCAGCTGTTGAATATAAAAGCGGAAATACTGTATTAATAATCTCCAATAATCTATAAATAAAATTGTACGCCTATTAATAGCATGTTATGTTATTTTATTCTCAGTTCAATGTTTATTTCATAGATCAGTATCAATCATTACTTTAGTAATGTTATGAGAAGTTGCATCTTGCAATAATTAAAATTCACTTATCTTCATTGAAACTTGAAAAATAATATAATAATTGATAAAATAATAATTCGAGTTGGAAAATAATTCGGAATTTGAATATTTCAATTGATGGTTATTTTAATAACCAAAAAATTGTTGAGTAATATTAACGATTGACTGATTCAAAATTTAATTCAGTAGCGAAGCGGTGAAACGGTTTAAGTCGACTTAATCCTTAGCCGAGTTTTCGAAGAATATCTCCGAATCTAAGGGAGATAACGAAATTTTCACAAGTACCTTTTCTGTAGAGCGAATTAAGGGCTTTAAAAACGGTCATGACAAAAATTTTGCTATCTCCCTTAGATTTAGAGAATTTCAGGGGATCTGGCCAATAGTCAAAATCAACGTGAACCGTTTTACCGCTTCGCTACTGAATTTTAATTAAAAATTAATAATTGAACCGAATAATAATTGAACCGAAACCACTTTGGGTAATAAAACGGTCCTATTAAACCTCGGAAACTACTTGACATAATTTTACCCTGTTACGATATACATCGTGATCACCGTAACTCGAGTACTAGCCGATAGTTTATTGCCATCGTAACTTCAATCGTTGCAAGAACTCAGTCGTCAAGTAATGAAATAGTCGGAACGCTGCACTTTCTCGATTGATAACCCTTAAGGATATCCAAGTACTTTGGCTATTTTTTGTTTCTGAATGGAAGCTTTGTAATCGTTCAAATTTAAGTTTTGGATTTTTTGTGTCGGATCGATCGAGTGTGATCCGAAAATTCAGAAAATGCAATTTTAGACCTCGTCCGCACGTGTGTGCGTATGCGTGTACGTATGTAACAAAGTTTTTCTTCAATTGGTCGCTCAATGAACGAATGGAATTGAATCTTTTTTGTTTCAAATGTAGGCACACGTATGAAAAAATCGTATAGAAATTTTCTATACGGATTGCGTACAGAATTTTTACAGAATTTTCGTATATGATATTCGGGTATTTCTATATGGATATTTTTTATACAAATTATTTCTATACGATTTCTATAGATCTGATCCAATACGACCCACTGCCACATGTATACAAACATTTCGTATGGAATTGCGAGATTTCTTTACATTTTTCTCTGGAGCGTTTAGATATCTTTCATATGAAAACAAAAATTTATCTAAAAATTTATGTATAGGAATAATTCGTATAGAAATATAGAAATATCCGAATATCATATAGGGAAATCCTATAGAATTTCTATACGCAATCCGTATAGAAAATTTCTATACGATTTTTTCATACGTGTATTGTTGAGCCCTATCGCCATTAATAAAAATTTAATTCATCGATTAGTATCTTTAATTTTCGGATTTGTTCGAAAATCGGTTGTCCCACGATAACTAAAGAAATGTTTTGAATTGACGGAATGGCTTTAAAAAATTGCTTGGATGTCCTTTTGACCAAAGTCAAAGATGAAGGCGATAGCAATATTCATTATTTTGATTTATTTGAAGATTTGCAAAAATTTTATACTTTTTGAAGATCAGAATTCCTGGGATATCTTTGAATGTTATGCTTCAAATAAATTCAATCATAGGGGAGAGTGGAACAAAATGAAAGAGTCGAAAAATGACTGTTTGACGCAATACAAGCAAACCAAATTTTTTTTATCAACTTTTGTTTATGCACTTTTGTTCATTAACTTTTTTGACACTTCCGGAGCCGTAGGGAGTAAGTTATTGATTATTGGGATTACTAATGAGAATAATAATTTTCCATTCAGAAGAATGAAAACAGTAAAATCCAAAGTCCAGAGGAAGGCTCAGGGGCAGACCCAGAGGAGAAAAAGGAAAATGCGATGCTGAATTTCAATCGAATGAAACAATAAAAGTGTAATCGCCCTAATATCATCAATTGAATTATAGATAAAATATTTCATATTACTTGAAAAGAGAACTGTGGATAAAATTAATGAAAATTATTAATATTGTCGTCTCGATATAAGAAATATCTGAAAAACCTTCGGGAATTTCGAATGAGGAGAGAACATAGACTCAGCGATGACGAGGTCTTAGTTTGGCTGCTGAAGAGTCAGGGGACAAGCTGACTAGTGGACGTTGAGATTGAGATCTAACAGGGGAGTGGGATTCATCTGTGGAGGTAGTCGCTACGCTAGATAGGGGTTTCGAATATCAGTGATTTTTTCGCACCGCATGTTTTTTTCTACTGAATAGAAAATTATTATTCTCATCAGTACTTCTAATAATAAAAAAATTGATAAACAAAAGTTGATAAAAAAAATTTTTGTTTTGCTTGAATTGCGCCAAATAGTCGTTTTTCGGCTGATTCATGTTGCCTCACTCTCCCCTATTAGATTAATTAGATATGAGATAAATATGAGTAGATTAATTTTAGGGCAGAAACAATCATCAATTCAAGAAGGAGAATGTTTTTAATTCGAGAACTCAGATGTTCTATTCAAGTACTTCAAGATTCTTATTTTAAGAACCCAAGAACCCTGAATCCTAGAATTACGACTCCCTTGAAATATTATGAGAGAAAATATGCGTTGTATTTGAGTACAATTATGCTTGATTCACGTAAAAATGACGGACTGAGATTTTTTTTCTCAGTGATTTCTACGGAAAATTCTCTCGAGAGAATGTGAAAATTTCACTTATTTTCATGATTTGTTTCTCGATAGATTTCAGTACTGGGTTTTGAAATTCAGAGATTTCTACTGGAAATTAGAAACTTCTCTTTTATCCGCGCAGTTTTATCAGTTCCTTTCCGAACACCGAGCTTCAATGTCGTAAATTAAAGTCTCTTCAACTATTGTTTACAGAGTGGACTCCAGGGGAAGTCCAATCTAAACCATCTGATATTCTTTTCGCATTAACAGAGGTGAATGAGATTCAGAACCACTAAAACGCGCGACGACAAAAAAAAAACGAATGCCGTAGGTTTATGTGCAGAATAAATGTCCAGGAAAAAAAACTCGTTACACATTTGACCTTTTACGGGTTTTCTCGCATAAAAATGCACTAGGTCCGAGGAAACGTAAATTTTTTATGTATGAGTAATTCGCAAATTTTAAAATCGCTGAATACTCTTGAAAGAAATTCCTTGGTTGCGGGAAAAAATGTACGCTTTTTCTAGAGGATTTGAATTACTTACGGCCAGGATCATCGCACAAGTGAAGATCAATTCTCTGACATAGAAAGTGGTAACAGGTTTCAACTACATCGTATCTCATAAATATCTTAGAAATTGCTGTATTACACTGGATTTTACTTCTTGCCTGCTGCGATACTTGAGCTTGGTACTCTGGTAGAAGCTGTAAGAAATGAAAAATTGATTATTTGTCTGGTTCCTGAAAAATGCATGGAATAGTAAAATCATACTTTTGAAATATCCCGATAATAGATAATTCTAAAAGGAAATTCCAAAAAATTATTTGCGTTAGAATTTTCTTGATCTAAAAAAAAATAAAAGCCTCTTGATGGGAAGATTACGATTCCTTTGGCACCGCTATTTGACATATATTTTCCGTACCATTTTTCCTCAGGAATACGAGAAAAATAAAGAAAAAATTCCCTCTCAATTATTTTTTGGGATATCAGTATTTCAATCCTTATTTTCAAGATACGAACATTTCTATAAAGCTTCGTATAGGTACTTAACATACCAATTCATGCACTCACATTCCTACATTTGAATTCAATGATTATATTTACAACATCAAAACAAAACTCAATTTTAATGGAAATTTTGTTGTTGGAGATGTCTGATTGAATTTTTTTCTGAAAAAATTACAACAATCGCAAAAATTCAGTTAACAAAATCTGCAACAAAAGAATTTTCAGTTAAAAACGCTTCCAACCAAGGGAGTGTCACCCTTGTGACCCTCGTGACCCTAGCAACTCCCTTTTTTTTTATGTGGCCCTTGTGACTTCGTGACCTTAGTGACTCCTTTTCTGTGACCCTTGTGACCTTACCTTAAGTTGGGAGAGCACCTGATACATAATCGGAAGGTCCCGGGTTCAAATTTAAGCCTGGGCTTTCGATTTGTTTCAGTAAATTTGTCTTGTCAACTAATATTGAGAATTATCCTGGTTCCCCTCATACCTACTCCAAAATCCTATCCAGCAATATCCAGTGACGCCACAAGATGTGGAACTTCGTCTGGGCTATCGGAAGCTATATAAGCCTCCGTCTTCTGTAAAGAATCTCTATAATTCAGGAAAATTATGGAGATGGTATTTTTTCATTATTTTTCTCGTAATCCTGAGGAAAAATGATACGGAAAACATAAATTAAATCGTGGCGTCAAAGGAATCGTAATCATGCCGAATAGAACTCATCTTATTTATTGATTCATCTTCTCAGTAATGAGAGAAAAAGCACATGATCTCAAACACGTTTTGTCTGAACCCAAAAAATCGCAAGTTGATTATTACCAAGACAGAAATTGGTTCAGTTGGCATTCACAAATTTTCAAACATAAACAATCGCTCTGCTTTGTCAGTTCAACACTGAAATATTTAAATCAAGGGGTGGACTATTCAAGTGAAATGAGTAATCTGTCCTTTCATAATTATGACGTCATTATATGTGATGGATTATCATAGTTTTAGTGAAGTATTATCCTACTGAAGAGTAGGAATGAATACAAACCTCGAGTTTTCTCGCTGCTTTAACTTTCCTCTCCAACATAGTTGCCCTCTCAATGAGCCCACCCAGAGAATCAATGAATCGTAATGCAGCCTTTAGCTGTGAATCAGTGAGGACCCACAGTAGGTCATCGAGAATAAGGACCAAACGTGATCCCAAAACGAAACAGTCAGACAGTCTCTTCTTAATAGTAATACGGCATCTAGCTTGATTAGTTAACAAACGTAGTGGGGTCAAGTCTTTGTCTTTTGTACTTTGTGCTTCTATTCTAACAGTCTGCCATTCCATTTCTTTGAATATAAGTAGTTGTCCTCTATCAGTGTCTTTAAGTCTTGTCATTCTCAAATCACAACGCTGCCAGGCCGGCGATTTTGACTCAACTGTTATTCTCGCAATCTGTAATTTCATTTAAAAAACAAACATTTTTGTTAATTCCTTGTGAATTTTTTATCATGAATGATGAAGCGAAGTAGCGAAAAACATGTGGGAAGTCTTCAAAATGTCCTCGAAGATATTTTCACAATACAATATATAGATTATTCCACAAATACTTTTCGAGTTGAAAGATTCGAGTAAAAGACCTTGAGTTATCGCAAATTGTGAGAAAAAATGCCTCCAGAAGAATTTTTATAAACCTTGTAATCAAGTTTTATAGAATTGAGTGACGGACAACTTTATACAAATGAGTTGGCAGCGATCCTTGAGGATAATTAATCCAAGGCTAATTGCTCATAAAAAAATGGTTTTTATAGTCCTTGAAATTCTCTACAAACATGTCTCTTGAATTTTTTTATAAACTTCTTCGTTCTCAAGATATTTCCCAATGACGTAACTAAAAACTTGGGGGAAATGAAAAATGTCATTTCATTTTTTGAAAATATTTTCGTCAACTCGAATGAATTTTCCATGATGAATGATGAAGTGAAGTATTTGTGGTGAACATGCAGAACTTTTCTCCTTCGAAACGCTTTTCGAAATGTATTGCCCGAGGATTTCTTCAAGATATTGGCACGATAAAATACACAGATTATCCTACAAATATTTTTAGAGCTAAAAGATTCGACCTTGACCTTGAGTTATCGCAAATTATGAGAAAAAATGTCTCAAGAAGAATTCTTATGAAGCTTGTAATTAAGTTTTCTAGAACTGAGTGACAGAAAATTGTATCCAGATTAGTTGCCAAAGATGCTTGAGAATAATTAATCCAAGAATAATTGTTAATCGAAAAAACGGTTTTATAGTCCTTGAAATTTTCTACAAAAAACGTTTCTCAACATTTTTTATGAACTCCTTCATTCTCAAGATATTTCCAAATTACGCAACTGGAAACTTTGCGAAAACTTGTGAGAACGTAATCTGTAATTTAATTTTTAAACAACATGTTCGTTAATTCCCGTTAATTTTTTATGATGAGTGATGAAATGAGATAGTTGTGAAAAACATGCGGCATTTATTGCCCAAGGATTTCTCCAAGATATTAGCACAATAAAATCTACAAATTATCCTGCAAATCCTTTTCGAGCTAAAACATTCGAATAAGAGGCCTTCAACCATCGAAAATTTTTACAAAAAATGTCTTCAAAGGAATTTTTATAAACCTTGTAATTAAGTTTTCTAGAATTAAGTAACAGAAAACTTTATCCAGAATAGTTTGCAACTATCCTTGAGAATAATTAATCCAATACTAATTGCTAATAAAAAAAACAAAGGTCTTTATAGTCCTTAAAATTTTCTACAAAAAACGCTTATTGATTTTTTTTTTAACTCCTTCATTCTCAAGATATTTCCAAATTACGTAACTGGAAAGTTCACGCATATGATTTTGAAAACATGTCTTGACCTACTGAATGGGAATGAAAACCTTGAAAGTATTCTACAAATTCTTCGAAAAATTTTTGATAACTAAACCTTTTCTACCTCGTAAAACTTGAAAAAATACGTAATTTTGTTTTGGCTTCACATAACTAGGTTTCTTGTAAATAATGAGCGATACCTGATGTACATACCTGAACATTAGCAATAAAAGCGGGACTCCTAAACGTAACTGTAACAGTATTAACTGCAATTGTGATGCCATCGATGACTTTATGGATAAACGAATATTTTGTTGCTCCTGGAAAGGCAGTTGCATTGTTTGGTGATGTTGGGCTTCTCAATTCCTCACAGGTTACCAGCTCGATATGCACTTCATCTAGATGCTGATAAAATGGAAAAAAATTATTGAGATTAAAAATGAAAACTTGATTTCAAGACGTGAATGCTTTATATAAAGCCTTCGTTTATCACTGTCGTTATGCCCCCTAAGGAGGGCAGGGAGATAAGTACGCTCGTTCAATTTTACGATTTGCCTGGGTATCGTTGAAGTAAGTAGGTGGAGAGACGATTGTGAATAATTATCTGGAGGTTAATGAACTTTTTGAAAAAAAAAAAAAATAGTAAAATTAAAATCCTCCGGTTGTTTCACGAACATCTCGGAAGCTCGAGGATTTAACGAAAAACGTCAGAAGAACTTTTTTCGCATGAAATTTCATGGGGTGCTAAAAAGGTCGAGCTATCCAGCTGGGATTACACGAATATCTCATCACTTATCGCGTGGAGGAAAAAATGTTGAAGAACGTCTTTAATAATCCACAAAAATTCCCAATGGAAGATGTCATTTCACAATTTATTTCTGAACCCAGTAGTTTCAGAGATATTCACAAAATAATTTACGAAAACTATTCTTCGTTTCCGAGGGAATTTGCTAGATACGGATAGTCTCTGAAAATGGTGCATTTGAAAAAAACGTGAGACCTGTTTTGAATAGAAATGGGCTGCAATAAAGGTCGAAATATCTTATCGACTTGGGGAGGAAATGTTGAAGAATATTTTTTGCAGTCCGCAAAACTGCCAACAAAAAATGTAATTTTAAAGACTTTATTTTTTAGAAAATTTCGCATTGAAATTTATAAAAAAAATTTACAATGAAATTACATGAATTAAAAAAAAGAAATTTCATAACATGTAATGAAAAATATCAGAAGGACACTTTAGTATGAAAGGTCATGGGCTACAAAAAAGGTCGAGGTAGTAGATTTGCTAAAAAAAAATTTAAATAACTTAATCTATTGTTTCATTATTAAAAATCAAAAATTATTTGTTAATTAATTGTTTGCATCAAATAAGAAATGATTTCACGAAATTTCCGTTTTTTAGAGTTGAATATCACAGAAACTATGTACTAGAAATTTTTTACAAAAAATTCGCCCCGCGTTCGAAATTTATCAATCTTTCACAGATCCATTTTTTAAGAACATCGTAAGAACCCTTTAGGCGTATGCCTCGCATGTTAAAAATCCGTATTTCATTATTTATTATTTCCTAAACTGTGGAGAACAGGTACTTCGATTTTTTTTCAATAGCTGAGGAATACTATAAACATCATCTATGAAAAACATGGAGACAGTCGTTAGAAAACCCTGTTTTCTAGGAATATACCTTGGACCCATTAGTTTCGAAGATATTTACAAGAGAATTCGTTTAATATTTACGACTTTGTAACATCTGCGATTCTAAGACCGATGTATTAATAGATATTTCCAACACATGGAAAATGTTGGGACAATCGTTTGTTTACAAAAATTTAGAAACTTCATGAAGGGATGAACGTTATTCCTTCAAATTTTAAGGGCCTTTACACCTCCACAATTGATTCGAAATTTAAATCTAAAAATTGACGGAACTTACTTGTTTTTGTTCATAACAAAAAAACTGATGAATAAAAAGAAAAAATATTTGGGTACAAACTCCAGAAATATATGATCCCTATCCCCAATAAATTTCAAAATCCCCAGATAATTCAAACCTTTAGATATGCCTATAAGAATGATAACTACTGACAATCGAATCTTCTGCTAGTTTCAGCTTCATCGCATTTCATTATTTATTATCTTCTAAACTATTTAGTACAACTAGTTGGATTTTTTTTCAATAGCTGGGGAATATTATAAACATTATCTATGAAAAACATGGAGGCAATCGTTAGAAAAATCTGTTTTCTAGGAATATACCTTAGACCCATTAGTTTCAGAGATGTTACAAGAGAATTTCGTTAAAATTTACAATTTTGTAACATCTGCGATTCTCGGTAACCAGAGCCGATGTATTAATAGGTATTTCCAACACCTCATGTCCTTCTGTTCTGAATAATACACCATAATCGATCTCATATCGTCTTGCCCCAGACAATCATGTTCAATGCATGGGAATTGTTTGGACAACTGTTTGGAAAAGTTGGTACTTATCTCCTCTATTCATACTACCGATAGCTTGTGAATTATGGCTTGTACAGTGTTGTTATTTACCAAAAATATAGGAACACTCTTGAGCTTGGTCCATTGTACACGTAGATTAACTTTGTTGCACCAAGCACTAGTCAATTTCAGCCAGGATGGTAACTCTAGTAGATCAGTCAAAACCGCCTCGTCTAACTCTAAGTTTGTTAATTCACCCTCTCCTCTTAATGTACTCAAGTTGATTTTATCAGCTGACAGGTTCTTCGTAAACCTATTGATGAGAAAATTATAAAAGTGAAAATTAAAACTTTAGTTGTGACTTTGGGGGGAAATTATTTCAATAATTGATGATTTTTTAAGAGCAGGTCAGGAGATGTTTATTATAGGCAAGTATCTCAGCTTAAAAAAAGGTAACTTGATAGTCAACTCTGATACTCTGTTCAACAACAAATTGACTCAAAAAGTCAGTAGAATCTAGATCTAGATCATCGATGAAAGTTTAAGGTTTTTGTCAAGTTAAGTTAAAAATGAATCATTTGGAAATGATCAGTAACATTCGACTCAGATATAATTGATCAACAAATTATTCATTCAATTAAACAAAAGATATAAATGAATAAATTGATGAATGATAATAAACAGAAATAATTACAATTCTAAAATTGTAATCAACAAACATTATCTTTAAAATTATTATATACGTAAAAGAAAATATTAATTAATCAACTGATTAATTAAGCAATTTTTATCGATTAAACAAATCAACTAGAAAACTTTAATGTTCTAATCATTACACATGAGCTCTAAAATATTCGAATGCATGAAATTGGAGCAAAACCAAAGAACAATCAAATTGTCATCAATAATAATATCGAAACTCTCAGAATTCAACAAAAATTGAATCAAAAAGTCATTGAATAATTATGAAAAATATTTCTCCAACAGGAAAAATTGAAGGTATGAGCTTTCAATGCTCTCGATATTGAACATTCGTTTATTTAACATTGACTATTATCAACATGAAACCGCATAATTAGAAATGAAACGTGGAGAAATGCTTAAATTTCCATATTCGATTTTCGCGCTCATTACAATAACTTCCTCCCTTCGGGTCGGGAAGTTAAAAAACAAAATCTCTTGATATTCGTTTTCAATAAAAAATCGCCTGAAAAATCATCAGATCATAAAATCATCAACTGGTAAGAGAATCGATCTAGCTCGTCGAAGAAAGTTTAAAATTATTGTGAGGTTGAGTTAAAAATAGATCATTCCGAAATAACTAGGACCATTCGACTCAAATATAATTGATCAACAAATTATCCATTCAATCCAAAAAAGATAGAAGTGAATAAGTTGATGAAAGATTATGAACGAAAAACATTGATTCCAAAAAGACTGTTTATTGATTTTTAATCAACAATCATTGACTTCCGAATTATTACAGACGAGGCGTCAAAACTGTTTCCATAAAAAAGTGACTTTAAAATGATGAGAATCATAAAATAATCAACTAATAAGGAAAACAATCGGGTTTCTCGGTGAAAATTTAAGATTTTCGTCAAGTTTGCTCCGACATAAATCGCTTCGAAATTATTTGGATCATTTCACTCAAATATAATTGAGTAACATAGGGGAGGGTGGGGCAAAATGGAACTGTGGGGCAAAATTGAACGGCGGGGCAAAATGGAACGCAGGGTAAAATGGAACGGTACAAAAAATTCTTATCCCAAGAAATTTTTCCTCAAGAGATGAAATAGTTAGCACAAGAAATTAGCTTTGTAATATTATGACGATTGTTCTCTCAATGTATGACACCGGAACGAATGATTTGAGATAAAATGTGATATTTTCCTCTCGTTTAGTAGGCTAAATAGTTGAGAGAAAACTGAAATTTCATGAGCAGTTGCCTAAATATTTTCAAAACAGTGACTGATTTCGATACAGGGGAAAAATAATGAAAATTCATTGGAATTCGAAATTTTTGAAGAGCAGAAAGATGCGAATTCCTCAACTCATCTGAATTTTCAATCAAAACATTAGTAAACTTTAGTAAACCAAATCATATAATGTATTCTTCAATTTTCAATCAATTGAAAATTCAAAAATTCATTTACCTTAACTTTCCAGATTTCTATTAATTTTCAAGAAAAGGGGAGAGTGGGGCAAAATGGAACGGTAGTGAATTTTGGTTTTCAAAAACTATAGGACCTTTTTTTAATATTCAATTTATTCATAGAACAATAATAATATTCCAAAGGTCTTATTTATTTATCTATAATCGTCTATTACTCTATAATTGAATTTACAGACATCAGATTTTTCTCCAGTTTTTTAACCTTGAATTATCTTTTTTATAATGAAGATAGCAAAATTTTTATAATGACCTTTTTTATAACCCTTGAAATTCTCTACAAAAGGGTGCTTATCAACATTCGCCTATCTCCCTTAGATTACAAGATAGCGATAACTACAGAGTAGACCGATGTCACTGACTTAACGCCGAATCATCATTTTTGAGCTCACATAAGGTGGAAAAAAAAAGTTGTCTGAATTTCGCTTTATATTCGTTTTTTGTACCGTTCCATTTTGCCCCGCCATTCCATTTTGCCCCACCGTTCCATTTTGCCCCACCCTCCCCTATTATTCCAAATTTTTCATCGGCAAACAAATTTTAAACTATTGAATTTTCTGTAAACTATTTCGATTTTCAAACAAGAAACTTCAATATTCTAATCATCAGAAATGAATTCCAAAATGATTGAATACACGAAATACAAACCTAAGCAATAAACAAACAACTCATTCCATCTGAAGTGAAACAAAATGAAGAGCATTGATAACTGATAAGACACTGCGATTTTTATCAATAACAAAATTTTAAAAATAATAATTGAACCTGAATGGACTTAAAAATTGATTGAATGATTATAAAAACAATTTCTCCCACAGGAAAATGGAAATACATAAATTTTTCATGTTGATGACATTGAAAATTCGTTTATTTGACATTGACTGTCACCAACACACAATAACATAATTAGAAATGATGACAAACCTTGACAGATGCTTGAGTAGCTGATTTTTTATTATTGAGACCATTGTACCATCACCAAGTGACTAATAAACGGTGATGTTTTATTGAATCAACAACTAGCACACCTATCTACGAAATCGACAGTTCTACGCATATTTTGGCAATAAAATAGTGACTGAAAGCTGCCAAGTGGAGGTCCCCCCTGATATTTTTTCCCTTCCTTCTTGCTCCAAAAGAAACTGCTTGAGTCACCAGTGGCTCCGATTATATTGCACTCGAGACAATCTCACAACTATTTATTAACACTTCACTGATATCTCATAATTATTAATATCGAGGGAGGAATTAATGAGAATATATCAATTTTTAATCACAGAAACAATTAACTTCCTATCGACCAACATTCTAGACTAACTGAACTGCTCCTAACCTTCACTCGTGATCAACTGAGCTGCTGACATGTGTGAGTAATTGGGGAGGGGGCCTCGTGAGAACGCGGCGAAAGGTTTTGCCCCAATATTTCAGGAGTTCAGTAATAATTCCATCAGAATCCGCTGAGACATGTGCAAATATCTCGAGAGGGAGGACATTTGGAGAAAAACATGAGAAATATTTTTGGTAGAGAATTTTATGGGCTACAAAAACTTTTTATGAATTTTTACTCGAAAATCACTGGTTCTCGAGATTATTTGCATAATTGTGAAGATAATTTAAATTGTGCCATCGCCTAGAGGCTGAACTGCGTTGGTAATAACCGGGTTCAAGATAAAAAGTAATAATTCCATTGCATGCCACTGAATCATTTGTAAATATTGCGAGCAGGAGGGCATTTTGCGAAAATTATGAGAAAACATATTTGTAATTATCAGGATTAGGATAAAATGCCATAAAACATCTTCTGTCAAGAATTTTGTTGGTCACATAAAAATTTTTTTGATTTTGGTTTTCGATTAATTAGATGGTTTGAAGTTCAGAAACTGAAAAGTAATAATTTCATCACAAACCACTGAATCATGTGTAAATATCTAGAAAAGAAGGATATTTAGAGAAAATCATGAGGAAACTTTTTTGTAGAGAATTTCATAAACTATAAAAAAGTCTTTAGAACTTTTCTTCTTGAATCGGTGGCTCCTGAGATATTCGCATAATTATTAAAGTAATGAATAGTTCAGTCACGATTACCATCAAAATAGTCGAACCATTTACTAGAGGGAAATTCGATTATTTCGATAATTATCGGGTTTAGAGAAAAATATCATGGACCATTTTTTGCAGAGTCATATTTTCTGCAGAATTAGGTGATTTTTTGAAGTTCAGGAGTTGAGAGGTCATTTTTCCATTACAATCAACTGAATCAAATGAGGGTGAAACTCAATGAATGTGACTTAGTCAATTTAATTTTATTATTTTGGCTTTTTGGAGTTCACATACCATAGCTGCGTCCACATCGCGAACCCTGGGTAACGCTAAACGCGGATGTGGCTTATTATTAAATTGCCATATCATGCGTTCTTCACTTTATCATACATTGAAGATCGATTATATATGTGTAAAAATGAATAATTAGTGCAAAAAAATTAATTGTTTACTGTTCGTTTGCCCCCCGCACACGCTTAAAATGTTGAAAATTGTCCAGGGCCTCCAATTTTTGAACTACAGAAGATTCTTTTTTTTCAAAATTTTTTTAAAAATGTGTGCAATAATAATTCCGAATTAGTTTTTTGAAATTTGACTTCTATACAGCTAATTTCGTTTTGTTTCAAATAAAAATTTGCGCCATTCATGTAAATTAGGCAGAAAAATTATCCTTAAAATATTTTAAATATAATCTTAATTCTTTGAGAAACATTTTTCAGGCTATTTTACATGAATAGTGCAATTTTTGCTTTAAAAAATAACGAAATTAGCTGTGTAGGAATTGAATTTTATAACCAATTCGTAATTAATTACAATAACAATGTACAATGTACAATAACAATTGTTATTGTACACATTTTTTCAAAAATTTTGAAAAAAAAGAAACCTCTGTAGCTCAAAAATTGGAGGCTCTGAACTATTTTTAACATTTTTAACGTCTGCGGGACAAACGAACAATAAACAATCAATTTTTTTTATTCTCCTCTTGATTAAAATTCGAATTTACAATTTTAACAAATATGTACCTCGTGAAGCGAGGAGCTGCTAGGGAGGTCCCGTACAACTACCTGAGCACCCATAATTATTACATGAGGTGTCTCAAAGAAATGTAAATTCATATTAGCTACCTAGGTTACCTAGAAATTAAAGTCACGAATTTTTAGTTTCACCCAACTGAGAATATCTGGAGGAAGACGTTTAAGAAAAACATGAAAAAAGCTTTTTTCTAGAGAATTTCATGAGCTACAAAAAGGTTTTTGAGATTTTCCTCTAAAAGCCTTGGCTCCCGAGATATTTGTATAATAACGAGAATAATTCAAGTCGAGCCATCTGCTAATTGATTACGCCATTATTTCGGTAACTCCCATAATTAGGAGAAAATATCACAAGACATTTTTTATGGAAAATTCCATGGGCTGCAAAAAAGATCGAATAGTTTAGAACCTAAGAGGTAATAATTACATCACAGTTCCCGAATTATTTGTAAATATCTCGAGAAGGAAGATATTCAGAGAAAATTATGAGAAAACTTATTTCCAGAGAATTTCATGTTACAAAAAAGTCTTGTGGTTTTTCCTGTTGGAGTAGATGGTTTTGAAGATATTTGCACAATCTTCTTTTCTGAGTTGTTATTTCGGTAACTCCTGGAAATAAAAGCAAATGTCGCAATGTAGCGCCTCGCTACCCGGGGATGGAAACTCAGTCAGGGGATGGAAACTCAATGTAAATGCCTATTTGGCTAGCGGGTCTCTAGGAGGCACCAACTTACTGACAAAAAGTCCTAGAATTCGGTGCTAAACGCTGTTGGTGCTCTACTTTTTAGTTATATCCCTAACGAAATCATAATAATAATAAAATGAATAATTTTTTGGACGTGCAGTAAATTATTGATAGAATAATCAAACAAAATATAATTGATGGACGGAAGAAAAGAGAAATATATCAATTATTCTTCCTCAGTCTTGTTGATATTATGAGAAGCAAATGACCAAATGAAATGTCATACTTATACCTTTCTGTTTTTAAAAATAATCCTCAATAAATCTGAATTACATGCAATGATTATCGTTTTGGTATTAATGACATCTTTATGGTTCTTTTTCCTATAATTTCTATGTAGAGGACGTCCAAAATCAACGAATTTCAATAATCGTTTGTGGACATTTATGTAATTTCATACAGTTCATTCATTATTCTCTATATATAGTCGAATAATGGAAGCAGAATCAATTATCATTCTGCTGAATTTTATCCTTGAAAAAATTTGTCATTTTTATGGGGATGGTGTGAAAAAGCGAGGTATCAGGAGGATCATATGTAGGAAGAGAATATTTCAGTTTATTAATAAATAAATGCAGTTCATTAATTATTTTTTCATTGTTTTCTCATTTGTTTTATCATCTAATATTATTTAATACAGATATAAAAACGTTGTGAGAGGAAATATGGGCCTTAAGGGGTGAAATATCTCTGTTGGCCATCAGCCCCCATGTTTTTTTATTCAGCGGTGTGTGATTCGAAGTCCCTCCTTCTTTCTGTGGACTCGTTTCTCTTGCCGCTGCTGTTCTTTTGGGCGTTTCTGCTGATGTTGATGGATAAATCACTTCGGTGATTTCATCTGTAGAAATAAAAATCATAACATCATTCAATTGCACTGCAATAATCATAATTAATGACTCTGTTAACGTTACCAGCCAGTAAACCTCTGGTAAATCTTTGATAAATTTTATTCCTATTATTCAAAAATAGGTATCGCGGCTATGGACAAGTAATTTTTACTACAGAAATTCTCTCCGGGCACAATTAATAACTTTTCAAGTCAAAAATTTAATCAAGATAAAATCTGTAGCGAAGTGGTAAAATGAGGTAAGTGTATTTTTCCTATTTTCGTAAAACTCGGATTATCTCATATCAGTAAGGACTGATTTGAGGAGAGAAAGTCACAAAACCATTTTTGTAGCTGATTATTTTTCCAACAAAGAATGTTATTTGATATTTGCTTCTAAAATCATTCCTTAGTGAGATAATACGAGTTTTAAGAAGATATGGAGAATGCATTTTACCATTTTGCTACAGAAATATATTCGTTCCTTCTTCAGAAATCACTTTTCCAATGAAAGGGCAAATGAGAGGCCTCCTTCATCAACCAAGAGAAAATTTTGCGAATAATTCTGACGGCATGTTGTCGTCAAATTTTTGTAGATATTTTACCGATAATTTTAATGGCTCACTGTCATCCTATTTTTGCGGAAATTTTGCCCATAATTTTGACGATATGTTGTTGTCCTATTTGTGCGGAAATTTTGCCGATAATTTTGACTACATGTTGTCGTCCAATTTTTGCGGAAATTTTGCCGATAATTTTGACGACATGTTGTCGTTCAATTTCTGCGGAATTTTTGCTGATAATTTTGACATGTTGTCATTTAATATTTGCGGAAATTTTGCCGATAATTTACCGATTTGCTGTAATCCTATTTTTGCAAAAATTTTGCCGATAATTTTGGTGACGTGTTATCGTCCAATTTTTGCAGATATTTTGCCGATAAATTGGATGATACATTGATGGTAGATTTAACGAAAAAATTTGACGATGAACATGGTCATGAGCGTTCGTCATTTTGACGACAATTTCGCTGTTAAGTTTCGGAAATTCTTTTCGGAATTTGGTCGACAATTCAGCTGTAAAATTTCGGATGCTATGTCGACAATTTTCCGGAAAAATTTCGGCATCTTGTTTTCTGGGGTGGTGATTACCGGGGCCTGAATGATCGGACGATCCCGGACAAGTATCCCGTTCGCTACCTTGAGGATTTCGCCGCAAATCTTTACGGATCCATGATATTTTCGACTATCGATCTCGTGAAGGCGTTTAATCAAGTTCCGGTAGCAGCTGAAGACATCCAGAAAACGGCCATAATAACTCCTTTTGGGCTNTCTGAACTATTTTTAACATTTTTAACGTCTGCGGGACAAACGAACAATAAACAATCAATTTTTTTTATTCTCCTCTTGATTAAAATTCGAATTTACAATTTTAACAAATATGTACCTCGTGAAGCGAGGAGCTGCTAGGGAGGTCCCGTACAACTACCTGAGCACCCATAATTATTACATGAGGTGTCTCAAAGAAATGTAAATTCATATTAGCTACCTAGGTTACCTAGAAATTAAAGTCACGAATTTTTAGTTTCACCCAACTGAGAATATCTGGAGGAAGACGTTTAAGAAAAACATGAAAAAAGCTTTTTTCTAGAGAATTTCATGAGCTACAAAAAGGTTTTTGAGATTTTC